CCAAGTCTAAAATTCTCAAAATTCTTCCTCCTAAAACAGCTCTTTCATTTATCTTCTCCTGCTTCTCCCTTCTTCCCCTGCCCTTAGACCCTAGATTTCTGCTTGAACTTTCTAAGGCATCTCTACCTCTAGAGATTTCCATGTGCTTTTTTTCTAGGATATTTTCTAAAATGCAAATCTGATCAACAGTAGAAGACAAATAATAAGCATTTAAGAACCTTCATTTTAATTTCTTTTTACCTTTCTAGCCTCATCTCCTGCCACTGACCACACACACCCCACACCTCATGCATGCTGAGATACGTGTCATTTGCCCATGCACCTGCTCCCTCGTGCCTCTGGTTCTGCTCTGGTGGAGCTGCGACTTGTCCAGTCCTTTGAATCTTCACTGATCTCCCGCCTGCCCAGCAAGGCAGGGGTAATAACATCTGCCAGTTGCACAGTCTCAGTGACAGCACTTGTCTCAAAGTAGTTGTTTCTATGTCTGTTTCTCTACAAGATTATGAAGCCGCTGAGCAAAAGCATCAGGGATAGCTCTTGTCTCCAACAAGTGTCTACTCACGTATGTGTATGCTCAGTCACTTAGTTGTGTCCGGACTCTATGTGACCCTGTGGACTGTAGTCTGCCAGGCCCCTCTGTCCATAGAATTTTTCCAGGCAAGTATACTGGAGTGGGTAGCTATTTCCTCCTCCAGGAGATCTTCCTGACCCAGGGATCCAAGAAGTGCTCAACACATGTTTGGAAAATTCTCCACCAAAGATGAGTTGCCTTCTGACTTCTCAACTCAGGTTCTCTTCTTCCTTTGTGATTCTGCCTCTCTTAACTCCGTTTAGGGATTCAAATACACAATAGTCTTTGGGATACTCAAAATGATTTCCATTTCTGGTTCCAAACTCTTCATCAAGCCCGAGACCGTCACATCCATTTTTGTTATACCTCTCTACCTGAGTAGGCAACTTGCTCGACATAATCAAACTACACTCATCTTCTCCATAAACTGTTCATTTTGACCCTAGAACCTTCCTAACCTACCCTCCATCTGCTCCCACTCCAACATGATTCAGCCTTGTAGGTAAGATCTAGACTTGCTGCCAACTTTCAACTCTAGATGATTTTCCTTCCAATTATCTACTCTAACTTTTCAAAGAATTTCTTACTTTTACGTATGTTCTTTACTTAGAAAACTGATCTTACTCAACTTCTCTGATACCTAGTCCAAGATTTCTGGATGGCTTCACTTACCTTTCTCTTTTCTTCTAGTCTGAGAAAGAATGACTCTCTTCCCCTTAGGTGGTCCTTCTCCCAGTCTTACATCCAAGTCTTTGACCCCTTCCTAGAGGCTCGAGAGAGAGTCAATTATTCCTTCTTTATTTTGAATCTCTCTTTTACTACTCCTTTCCTTTTCTCTCCATTTATAGAAGTATTCTTCTTATCCTAAGAAAAAATCAAAATTCTTTTAGCTCAGTCCCTTCTTTTGTTTTCTTTTCAATGTCAAAATAATCTACATCTGTTGGTTACTCTTTCTTAGTACTCTGTGACTTACTTCTACCCTTATCGCTGTAATAACTGCACTGTAAAAGATAACTAATGATCCCCTAATTGCCAAATCCAAAGACTTTTTCTCCATCCTCAGCCCCTTGCCTTTCTGTAGCTTTTGTATTGTTAGGACACACAGCATTGTGGTTAAGCAGCCCTAAGAGTTAAACTGCCATAATTTAAAGTTACTTCTGTAAATTGAAATCTTTGTATTTTGATAAGTTTGAAAAATCTCCTTGTTGCTCCATTAATCATCTATAAAAAGAAATGAGAATAACGGTATAGGTTTCATAAGGTTGTTGAGTGGATGATAATTTTGGTAACACATGTTGCAGTGCCTATCTCATAGATATTCAATAAGCATTTACAATTGTGTTTGAGCCCACCCTTTCACTTTTTGGGGGTAAAGTTCTTCCTAAGCTTATTTAAACCATGTTCTTCTTCTCATCCACTTCTATGTATAACTCTTTAACTTCTTAGCTGGGTGATATTGGGTAAGTCTTTAAGCCTGATAAATGGAGATTACTACTTATTCATAAAAATATTGAAATGATGCATGTAAGAAGTTTAACTTTAGCATAACATCTGGCCTTAAGAAAATACTTGCTTTCCTGACTAAAGAGACAGAAAAAACATCTGTGATTCAGTAACTTTCCTTCTTCTTGTCTTAAATCTGAATGTTGATTTCTGATATAAGGCAATCACATGGCAACTAGGAGAGAAAAACCAAGAGAACTGCAGAGATGACCATCTGATATCGTTGAATAAACGTCAGCAGTCCCTATGTCAGAATTTTCATGTTTGCTTTTGTTCAGCCATTGTGAACTGGCTTAAACTATGTGATTTTCTATTACTTGCAGTGAAAATATTCCTGATGATACAGTCCCAGTTTATGCTTCATGGTTTTAGCTGACAGTCTCTCTGTTATCCTTCTAGGCAGTTTATAAAGATGAACCCAGAGTATCCACATTTATTTCAAATTTAATTACATCTATTTTGAACACTTCTGCTACAAATAAACTCTCTATTCAGCTCTTTGGGAAAGAATTTTTTTAGGTGAAATGCCCGAAGGTCTTAGACAACCATAGTTCCCCTGCCTGTGCTGTAAAATGGCAGTATCATCTTGTTAACTAAAGACAACAGGTTTGTCCTGCATATACAATATGCCAGACTTTTTTTTTTCAAACTATTCCACAAAGAAGCCACTTAGTAGATTGAAAAGATAACAGGTTTTGGAGTTGGTCAGATGGAGATAAAGTTTGATTTCACCACTTCCTAAAATGTAACTTTTTTGATCTTCAGTTTCTTTGATTATAAAGTACCCAAAAAAGGGGGGAAAGTATTCCTGCAGAAGGTTACTATGAAGAGTTAACATTAATGCTGCCAAGTGCCTAGCACAGTACACAGTGTGGAACACAAATAACCTGCTCTTTTACTGCTTCGATTATATAGTAGACAGTGAGTAAATATTACCACCCTGAAGCCTCTCACAGAGCGTTAAAAAAGATGAGTTAAAATTCACCCATAAGAAGCTTTTGTAGATTAATCTCAACTATTCTGACCATACCCTTTCTGAGCTCCTATTAACATTTGCACAGTCATATGTTTTTCAAAAATTTTTTCATATAACTTCTACTTCAAATTATAGACTCTAATAACATGGTAATTACTCAAAAACATCTTTTATAATGCCTATTTAAGGAAGAGTTTTCAGAATATACACCTCTTTCTGTCATAGACATTAGCGACAGAATGAATGCTGGTCTTTTGCAGATGGTCACATGACAAATACTAGGCCTAAATATGATTAATAACTTTATCTAAATTTCTTAGATGTATTTTCCCACACGTACTGAGGATATTATGTGTGTGTGTGTGTGTGTGTGTGTGTGTGTGTGTGTGTGTATTCTCCTTAATAGTAATAAGCCATCATTTTCATTACAAAGTTTGTGGTTTTGGGGGGGGGAAGCTGAAAGTCATTTCAAGATATACTGATGGATAAGGTGGTTTCAAAATATGCCAGTTTTATTGGGGAGGAAGGACAAAATAAAACAATAAAACAAACAGAATACAACAAAAGAGGAGATGAAATTTAAATATTAAGAAACAGCTTTTTCTTTTATGACCCAGAAACTGGCTTTGAAGGTAATTCTAAAATGTTTTGGGCCCAACAGCCTCTAAGAGTGCCCATTTTGAAAGATAACAATCATGTATGTGTATATTTGACTTAAAAAATAGATTCCTTCTTTATTTACAACTGGACTAAAGATCTCATTTTATGAACATGATTTCTATGCTTAAAACAAAGAACATAGAAACACAAAAAAAGGTCTGTCAGGTAAGATCTTTTTTCAGTGAAGTGAAAGTCACTCAATAGTGTCCCCCTCTTTGCAATCCCATGGAGTGTAGCCCACCAGGCTTCTCTGTCCACAGGATTTTCCGTCCACAGGATTTTCCGGGCAAGTTTCTGGAGCCAGTTTCATCTCCATCAGCCGGTTTCTCTGGGGATCTTCCTGATCCAGGGATTGAACCCTGGTCTCCTGCTGGCAGATTCTTTACCATCTCAGCCACCAGGGAAGCCCTCTTTTTCAGTGCTCGAGCCAATCATCCAACATTGCATATTTCAAATCAGTGTGTTTTTTTTCCCCTACTTTTTGGACAAGTGTATTTTGACAAATACATTGTTGGGCTGTGTCCTTTAACATGAAAATGACCATAAGTTTTGATGTAAATATCATTTAACGACTTAATGAAACAATACTTTTAATTTGTGTGATAAAGTCAGATATTTTCTTGGCTGCGGTTACCTATTTTGCGACTTCTGAAATTGATTTCACCTCCGGCAAACAGGTCGCTTCCTAGAGTCTGAAATCTGGTTGTGCCTGCCAGGCTCCAGGGTTAGCTTGCCTCTAATTGATGCTTTTGAATTGTAGTGTTGTAGAAGACTCTTGAGAGTCTCTTGGACTGCAAGGAGATCCAACCAGTTCACCCTAAAGGAAATCAGTCCTGAATATTCAATGGAAGGACTGATGCTGAAGCAGAAGCTCCAGTACTTTGGCAACCTGATGCGAAGAACTGACTCATTGGAAAAGACCCTGATGCTGGGAATGATTGAAGGCGGGAGGAGAAGGGGACGACAGAGGATGAGATGGTTGGATGGCATCACCGACTCAATGGACATGAGTTTGTGTAAACTCCGGGAGTTGGTGATGGACAGGGAGGCCTGGTGTGCTGCAGTCCACGGGGTCGCAAAGAGTCGGACACGACTGAGCGACAGAACTGAACTGAACCGAACCCATCCTTTCCAGATCGCCAGCTTCCCGCGGCTTTTGGTAACCTAGCAACCAGGAGAAGCAGGCCGACACTTCCGGAACACCGTGGCGCCGCGATCCAATCAGCTCTGCAGAGTCGCCGCTGAGGCTGACGGGACGCCGGAGACCGCCTCGCCGCCGGCGTCTGTACCATGGCGACGGGCGGCCGCGGGCCTGTGGTGGCGATGGCCGCTGGGTCCACCCTGTCGGCTGCGAGTGTGACTCTCTTCCTCTTGCTGGTGCTCCCTCGCGTCTCACAAGCTCAGACCTTCTTTCTTCCTTTCCGGCAGCCGGAGACGTGCGGCCACAACCAATACTTCGATATCTCGGCGCTCTCCTGTGTGGCGTGTGGTGCCAATCAGAGGCAGGATGCCCGAGGTGAGACTGCTCGGGACGGGCCCTGGCCGAAGGAGCAGTCCCCGCTTGGGGCCGTGCCCAGATCCCGGCGTCGCTGAAACATCTTTTTCTTTTTTTTTTTCCCCCGTGCGGAAAGAATGTTTCAGAAAGGTTAACTGCCAGCGCCTCAGAGGAGGGTCTCCTCAGAGGACTGAAGCTTAAACACACAACGAACGAGGTTGGGGAAACCTTGAGTCCGCTACCCCGAAGGTCTCGTAATGAATTTCTTGTCTCCAGGCCCCTACCCCTCATCAGGGGGCCTTTAGGGAGGCCTCTGGAAAGCTGACTACGGAAGAAAGAGAAATGAAGTAATCTTTAGGGTCCCAGAGAGTCGGACACGACAGAGTGAACCACCACCAGGATAATCTGAGGTGCTAAGAGCAGGTGACAGGACCTGTTTGGGAGGGAATGCAAATTAGCGCTTGGAAACTTTGGTAGTTGTTTGTTTTTTTAATCTTAAATCCAGAAATGTAGAGCTGGTTGGGACCTTAACCATTTATGGTCCAGCCTTCTAACTTTAGGGATAAAGAAATGGAAGTCGGGATGAGGTCGTCAAGCCTTCTTTGTCCTGTAAATTGGAGACTGGAAGAACTCGTTTATCTCTTTGTCGTCTGTCTTGACTTTTGTGTTTCCGCTATACAAAATGTCCGTAATAGTATAGATTTCCGTAGGACTTAGCCCTTTCTTTGTTGAATATTACTTATTCCCTCCAAAGTCTCTTTAGATTAAACTTTTTTTTTTCTTGAGATGTTCGTCATTTGGTCCTAGTTGTCCTCTGAAACTGCTCAGGATAAGACTTTTCCCATATTCTAAAGTCTAGGACGTTTTTAATCTCAATTTGGTCACCCATGGTATTAACTTTCTGCCATCTTGAAATTTGATTTAAGTCATTGTGTAGGACAAGTCAGGCTTCTCCGGTGAGGAAGTAAGAAGAAAGCATTCCCAGACTCATTCTATAAAGTTTAAGGTTCATAGTCATGCACCCTGATGTCATAAGTATTCTACTACATGTATTCCTATTAAGTGTCCACTTAATGCCTTCTTAGAGAATACTGTCCTTCTCTCCAGCAAGTTGAATAGTGATTATCTTATAAAGTTTACTTTAATCTTTCCAAACAGAGGAAAACAGTGATTTATTTGAATCGAGATAACTTTCCTAGTAAGATTTTGTTTTGACAGAATTTGAATTCAGTGAGTATATGTGTCTAGTTGGGTGAAATAGACTTGTAAAATCTCCCATAGCGGTTAGTCAGTAGTTTTGTTGTTAGTTTAATATTTATAATTTAATAATTTATTTATGCTTGCACTTAAAATTGTAGCAAACACAATACCTAGTGTATGCCAGACACATTGTAAGATGTAAATAGAGCACTTTCTATATGCTTATAATGACTAATTTAGTACTCATATTAACCACACAAGGTAGGTACTGTTCCCATTTTCCCTAACTGGAAGCAAAGGCACAGAACAGTTCCTTGCCCAGGGTCACAAAACTAAGTGGCAGAATCAATATTAGAACCCAGGCAATACTGGCTCCACTGTCTTGCTCTTAGGACCTGCTTCTCAAGATCTTAAGAGTTATTAAAATTTTCCTATCTTGGAATTTTATTTATCAAGGTCAAAACTGGCTCTTCTTTTTAGGAACTTCCTGTGTGTGTCTACCAGGATTTCAGATGATCTCTAATAATGGAGGACCTGATATTATTTGTAAAAAGTGCCCAGAACACATGGTATGGAGTATTTATTATTTTTTTAATCTTACTGTAAAAAATAGCAAATATCATTTTTTAAACTGTAGTTTAATGCTGTACTCTAATATTTTCCCACAGACTTTAATATTATTAAGCCAGCTTTGTTTTTACTAAACTGTGGGAGATCAGTGAAATTTTGCAAACTTGGAAAAAAACAGAAAGGTATTTTTAAAATCTGAAATTAAAAAAAAAAAGCTATAATTTGTCTTTATTTCTATTTCATAGAGAAACTGATTTATAAAGGAAAATAGATGAATGAATGATATATACTGAGTAAATATAATGTCAACAGTTTTATATAATGATTCATGTTCATATGACATCTGAGTAATAAGTTCATCAAATGCCAATTTCCTCACTAAATAGATTAAATAATATGCTGTTTTATTAATCATTTCATTATATCATAATTTTTGGAAAATTAGTGTATTAATAGTAACTATATATGATGATTCTTGATTAACAGAAATGTATCTTCCAATCATTTTGAATAATTAAGAGTCTTAGTGTGGCAGTTCTAACTTTCATAGTAATGTTTCTTCACATTTTTGTTTTAAAATGCAATGTTATCTCTTCTCATTATTGTATTTTAAAAAAATTTAATCTGGGAATTTAATATTTACCATTTTTCCTGATTTATGACTAGTACTTATAGGTTTGATGATCATTTTTATACTTTATATTTTTGGAAATAGTGACCCTAGCTGAATTATGATGAGAAAAAGGTACTAATATGAAATGGTGCCAAAGCAGACTAATTTTTCAGTGATGTTACTAAGCTAGTGGGGCTTCCCTGATGGCTCAAGTGGTAAAAAACCCACCTGCAATACAGGAGACACAGGAGAGGCCAGGAAGATCCCCTGGAGTAAGAAATGGAAACCCTCTCCAGTATTCTTGCCTGGAAAATCCCATGGACGGAGGAGCCTGGTGGACTACAGTCCATGGGGTCACAAAGAATCACATATGACGAAGCACACACACACACACAACTAAGCTATCATACTTTTTAAATAGCCCTATATGTGTAAATGTATCAAATACAGGAGCATTTCTTGATATATCCATTCTTTTTGGCCAAAACTTAACATAATTTGTGTCATTGTTTTATTATTACCATTGTTTTCTATTTATTTTGTTTATATCCATGTTTGTTATAAAATTACTGTATTTTTACCACAGGTTTTTTTCTAAATCATATAAGTTCAGTTTTGGATGGTGTCATATTTTATCAGAAATCTTTACCAGTACAAACTATTAGTGGATTAAAAAAGATCTCATAATTTAAACAACTTTAAGTATATTTATCTACCATAAGATTCATCCATTTGGATTATAACTTAATTGCTGAAAGCTAATGTATTTGAATTTTTAAAAATTAGAATAATTATTTTAGAACAGGTAAGGCTAAACTATTAATTGGCTGTTTGTTGATTCAATACCATTGAATTTTGTTGCATTTTATCTTGGTAAATTGAAAAACTGGATGACCATATTAATCATGGTAATAAAAGCTCATTTGAATTGAAAATCACAAAGAACTATTGCCTTTACTTCTTAGTAGTTAATAGTAGTCAGTACATAGTAATAATGTGTAGCGTAATGTTTGAATATAAGCACAAATTGTCTTTCCAGGAAATTTTTATGTAGCTCATATGTGTATAATTTATTTACATATTGCCTACAAATTATACCTTATTGTGACTTTTTAAACTCACGTGATCATTTTAAGAAGGAGAATATTAATTAAAGAAAGGGGAAATAATTTGTTTTTTTTTTTAATTTAGAAAGGTGTTACTGAAGATGGCTGGAACTGTATTTCTTGCCCTGGTGGTTTAACTGCAGAAGGAAAATGCCACTGTCCCACTGGCCATATTTTAGGTGAGAAGTAGAGTCTAGAATGTGTCCTCTAGACTCTTTTTTTTTTTCTTTCTGTTTTTAATGTATACATTGTACTTTGTATACATTGTAACCACAGGAAATATAAGTGGTATTTTTTATGTAGCTATTTCATAAGCTGTTCTCTAGGTATTCCTTTCAGTTAATGGTATGATCTACCTCATTCTTTTTAATCCACTCCATGGTGTTTTATAACTTTTTGCTGTTTTAAATATTTAGATTGTTTTCAAACTAGTAATGTTTTGATGAATATTTTTATGTACATAGTCAAGTGTTTCTGTAGGTTAGGTATCTAAAAATGAAGTTTTAGTATTATGTATTATAGAGTATGTGAATTTACAGTTTTAATACATACCACCAAAAGCCCTCTCAAGTTGAGAAACTTACCAGAAGTCTGTGAAAATACTTGCTTCCCCAAACTTAGTGTAACAGGAATATGCAGGTAAGAAGAAAGAAAATTTTTAAGGAAAATATATTAATTTATTATGATGATGATAATTTGGAAATTTCTGTATCTTTTTTTTTAATGTGGGAATGGGGAAGGCTTCACTTTTCAAACTTTATGTAAAATATTGACATGTTTTGTTCTAACAAGGTGTTTTGAGAATTATTAGAATAATTACAAGTGGGTTTTACTAAGTGTATAGAAGCTTGTATATTGATTATGAATTACATCTTATTGTCTCTAAATTGTTTAGTGGAAAGAAATGTTAATGGAACATTGTTGTCTCAAGCAACTTGTGAGCTCTGTGATAAAAGTGAAAACTCTTTTACGGTAGCAAATGCTTTAGGAAACAGGTAAGCAGTATGCTGGGTGCTGTCTTCATTAATATCTTATTTAAATAGAATTTGTGTCTTTCGTATCATATTCCTTAGGCTAGTAGAAGGCATTAACAGGTAAAGAAGCTGAAGTCCAGAGAATGAGACAGAATGGGATTTAAATGGGCTTCCCTGGTGGCTCAGCTGGTTGAGAATCCGCCTGCAGTGTGGGAGACCTGGGTTCAACCCCTGGGTTGGGATGATCCCCTGGAGAAGGGAAAGGCCACCCACTCCAGTATTCTGGTCTGGAGAATTCCATGGACTGTATAGTCCATGGGGTCGCAAAGAAGATTTAAATCTTGTTTCTGTCTCTTGCTGGTTGTTTGACCTTTGTTTAAGCCAGTGTTCTTGTCTTCAGAAAGGGGACATACCATCCACTTCATAGGCTGTTACCACAGCTCAGAAACATACTTTACATACCTAAACAAGTACTATAGAGTAAGTGCTTAGTAAAAGGTAGCTATTTTTAGCTATTTTTGTTTTATTATTGATGTTATGTAACTTGTACATAATCTATAATATATAGTATATAATAATAACTTATTTGCAATCTACTTAGTATTTTCTAGGTACTATATATATATATATTATTGATTTTATTTATACCGTGCCTTATAATACAGAGTAGTGTATACTTTAGATATGTTTACTTTATTGCAAGTAATTGCTTAGTTGAATAACCTATTCTAATCTATAAAGTTAGAAAGACAAGCTCTCAATTAAATTAGAGCTAGCATAATTCATTAACGTTTTAAAAATAATTTTTGTTGTATTGACAGGTGTGTCCGATGTGAACCAACATTCATTAATACCAACAGGTCCTGTGCATGTTCAGAACCTAACATTTTAGTAAGGCTTATTACATTGATAATGTATATATTTTTAAGTTGAATTGCTGATATTCTTACATAAACTGTTTTTTTTTTTTTCTTATTTATTTATGAAGACAGGGGGATTATGTTTCAGCAGCACAGGGAATTTTCCTCTACGTATGATTTCAACTGCACGTTATGGAGAGCTTGTGAGTATGCTTCAGTTTTTTTGTTCTAGTGTTAAGGATATTTCTGCTTTTCTTCCTTTGGTAATTTGGGGCTAAAATAAGCTCAGTCCATTGTTCCTCACATTTTCATAGGTTTGGCCATTAGAAGCCATTTGAGTTTGTTCCTGTGTCTTTTGGACCTAACTGTATCTTTCTTGGAGCATTTCCTGTCTGGCACAACAAGATTTCCAGGCTTATCTTACACTTTTCCTGCTTCGGTCCTGGAAACAACTATTTCTCTAAGAAGCTCTTAAGGATAATATTTAGAAACAAAGATTACCATGCTTAGTATGCCCTCATTAGCAGGCATAGCTAGAAAATATATACACACATTATGTATAAACATGTGTGTGAGTGTGTGCTCAGTTGCTCAGTCGTGTCTGACTCTTTGCGACCCCATGGACTTAAGCCCACCAGGTTCCTCTGTTCATGGAATTTTCCAAGCAAGGATACTGGATTGGATTGCCATTTCTTACTCCAGGGGATCTTCCTGACCTAGAAATTGAACCCACTGCTCTTGTGTCTGCCACATTGGCAGGCGGATTCTTTATCACTGCACCACCTGGGAAGGCCATGCGTATGCATACACACATCTATAACTATTTCTTTGTTTATCTTATTGTTTTACGTAATTTCTAAGAGAGACATCCAATCCTCTGTAGTAATATATCAGACAACCAATAAAGAATTTCCAAATATTTGAGTCAGTGTCTTCACATTCCCTTTCCCCAAAGACCATGAGCTTACATCTTGGTTTGCTTTCCCAATTTTAATTTTGAAAAATTTTTATTGCAGAAAAGTTAAAAAAGAAAAAAAAAACAATGACTGTGCATGTATCTTTTACTAGTTTAACAAATTATTAGTGTTTCGCCACATTTGCTTTCTCTCTCTCTCTGTGAATGTAAACATGCACACGCACACATACATTCGTATTTTTTTCTGAACCAGTTGAAAATAAGTTGTAGCTGTGTAATGTTTTACTCCTAAATATTTTGTAGCTCCTAAGGAAAACGGCATTTTTCTGACATCACACCTCAAAAGATTAATAGAATTATTTGATATACTGTTCATATCCAAATTTGCCTACTTGTTTCAATAAAGTCTTTCATCCCTGCCCACTTTTTTGGCAAAGGGGCCCAGGATCAGCGAAAGATCCCACATTGAAATTAAATCTCTTTAGTCCCCTTTAATTTAGAACAGAGATTCTTATCCTGTTTTGCTTTTTGGATTTTTTTTTTTTCTTTTATGGTCACTGACTCTTGCAGAGTCAGGGCCAGCTTTCTTGTAGAGCATCCCAGAGTCTTCATTTTTCTCATGTTTTTCTTATGATTAGACTCTGTGAAACATGTTTTTGGAAAAATATCACATGGGTGCTGTGTATAGCCCATTGTATCATAACATGGAGCGCATAATGTCAGAATATCCAGTTATTGGTGATGCTAACTTTGCCTGGGCATGGTGCTGTCTGCCATTTCTCTCCCTTGTAAAGGTACTGTGACTAATAAGTTAGTCTGAGATTTTACTTTGAGACCATGTACATATCCTTTTTAGCAGTCATTGATGAACCTTATCTGAATTAGTTATTAAATTGTTATATCAAAATGGTTTCACAATTTTATTGTTCCTTTTTATATTTTTAAGTTGACAGTCCTCTATAGAGTGTGTTCTTTTCTCTCTGTGCTCTTTTTTTCTCTTTAGCTTTACTGCAAACCCCTGGTATCATGAGTATGTTATGAATTGTCACTGTTATTCTTCTTTTCAAAGTGTAGTTCGGTTCAGTTCAGTTGCTCAGTCGTGTCCAACTCTTTGCGACCCCATGGACTGCAGGACGCCAGGCCTCCCTGTCCATCACAAGTGCCTAGAGTTTACTCAAACTCATATCCATTGAGCCGGTGATGCCATCCAACCATCTCATCCTCTGTCGTCCCCTTCTCCTGCCTTCAATCTTTCCCAGCATCAGGGTCTTTTCCAATGAGTCAGTTCTTTGCGTCAGGTGGCCAAAGTATTGGAGCTTGCACTTGAGCATCAGTCCTTCCAGTGAATATTCAGAACTGATTTCCTTTAGGATTGATTGGTTTGATGTCCTTGCAGTCCAAGGGACTCTCAAGAGTCTTCTCCAACACCACAGTTCAAAAGCATCAATTCTTCGGTACTCAGCTTTCCTTATAGTCCAACTCTCACATCCATACATGACTACTGGAAAAACCATAGCTTTGAGTAGATGATCCTTTGTCAGCAAAGTAATGTGCTGTCTAAGTTGGTTATAGCATTTCTTCCAAGGAGCAAGCGTCTTTTAATTTCATGGCTGCAGCCACCATCTACAATGATTTTGGAGCCCCGAAAAATGAAGTCTGTCACTGTTTCCATTGTTTCCCCATCTATTTGCCATGAAATGATGGGACCAGATGCTATGATCTTAGTTTTCTGAATGTTGAGTTTTAAGCCAGCTTCTTCACTGTCCTCTTTGACTTTCATCAAGAGGCTCTTTAGTTCTTCGCTTTCTTCCATAAGAGTGGTGTCATCTGCGTATTTGAAGTTATTGATATTTCTCCTGGCAATCTTGATTCCAGCTTGTGCTTCATCCAGCCCAGCATTTCACATGATATACTCTGCATAGAAGTTAAATAAGCAAAAAAAAAAAAAAGAAGAAGAAGAAGTTAAATAAGCACAGTGACAATATGCAGTCTTGGAGTACTCCTTTCCCAGTTTGGAACCAGTCTGTTGTTCCATGTCCTGTTCTAAATGTTGCTTCTTGACCTGCATACAGATTTCTCAAGAGGCAGGTCAGGTGGTCTGGTAGTCCCATTTCTTGAAGAATTTTCCACAGTTTGTTGTGATCCACATAGTCAAAGGCTTTGGCATAGTCAATAAAGCAGAAACAGATGTTTGTCTGGAACTCTCTTGCTTTTTTGATGATCCAGCAGACGTTGGCAATTTGATCTCTGGTTCCTCTGCTTTTTCTAAATCCAGCTTGAACATCCTGGAATTTCATGGTTCATGTACTGTTGAAGCCTGGCTTGGAGAATTTTTGAGCATTACTTTGCTAGTGTGTGAGATGAGTGCAATTGTGTAGTAGTTTGAACGTTGTTTGGCATTGCCTTTCTTTGGGATTGGAATGAAAACTGACCTTTTCCAGTCCTGTGGACACTACTGAGATTTCCAGATTTGCTCAGCAGTGGTCAAATTTTTTTTTTTTTTAGTGGCCAAATTTTGAAAGCTCAAATTGTCCTAAATTTGGACTTCCCTTTGGTATGGCTCCTGTGTTATTTTAACATGTCTCCTTCAGTCTTTAGGCACTACCTTGGTTTCTCTATACCATGTTCCAGTCTCAACCAATAATTATAATTTTAAATTGTCACATAATACTCTAGTTTATGCATTGAGATTCATGTAATTGTATGTCTATTGAATATTTAGGTTTTTTGTTATTAATAATATTGCTGTCAACCATCTTATGCCCATAGATGTGTTTTTCCTTTTGGAGAGATTATTGACTTAAGGCACATGTCCTAAGTGTTTCTAAATTCCTGGGTTAAAGTATGTGGATATTGTTTTATAAAGGATCATGCAACTTTATCCCTGGCATTTGTCTGTGGCTTCATTTTACATGCATTTGCCAATACTGTTGTCAATACTTTCCATTTTTACTATTTTTGTGTGTGTGTTAGCCAACATTCTACACATGTTTTTTTCTTAAAACATGAGAATTTTTGCTTATTGAAGAGATGAAAATGGTGACTCATAATAATTTTATTTTAGATTTCTTGAATAGTTATGGTGCCATATTTCATATAATTTGGTTTTACCACCTTTGTTCATGTTCAGAGAATTTACTACAGATGGTGTTTCTCAGTGTCTCATTTTTTAGCAGGATATGCAGATGAGCTTTAGAGCAGTGGTTCTTAACTAGAGGGAGGCCTGTTATCTGCAGTTTTCAGAGGATGTGTGTGCCTTGTCTCATTCTAGAGATTCTGATTTATTTGGTTTAGAATGAAGCCAGGCATTTTCTGTTTTCAGGAAATTCCACAGTTGATTCTGATTTTCTGGTGTTTGAGAATCGCCACTTTGGAGATTTTAAATGTTAGTTTCTCTGTGTATCCCCAATCTCCTGTTGCTTAGAAATCATTCACAAATAATTTCTTTTTTATTACTTGCAATTTAATACAGTGTAATAATCCGAAATCACCAAATATTAACCAAATATAAGTCAAGATCTAGTTTTTCTTTTATTCTTTTGCACTTTGATTTTCATTTTAGTGAAATGGGCATAATAGTTTTTTTCTTACTATTATAAACATACGTTATTTCCTTGTATCTTTTGTCTGAGCAATGTGATTTTATAATTCAGTCCTACTTATAATTACTGACATTGGTTGGAATTAATTCTTTTCTTCTTATTCGAATCTATTTTTCTGATAACACTGGGAAGGTAATATTAGTTATTTCCCACTCAGCAATGTGCACAGTAATGTCTTCCTAATAGTGTAGAGTTAAGGAATTTCTATTTAAACGTAAAACTAACATTCATCTTTTTGTTTACAGGGCGTATCTTTCACTTCAGAATGGTTTGCAAAGTATTTGCAGTCATCAGCAGCTGCTTGTTGGGTATGTTTGAATTTCTAGAAAGTAGTTTTTATTTCATTTCAAAAGAGACTGTGGTACCATTTTTTTCCCCAGTTAATAAAACTTTTCTAAGTAGATATGTCTCCTTGGTCATATTCTATTAAAACCCTTTCTAAGTGAACTGAAAGAGACTAATAAAGAAAATGTTATTCATTTCACATTTATTATACATAAATATGTCCAAACTTACTTAGCTGAAATTGAATGTAATACTATCATTTAGTAAATGTTTGTTGATGACCTACTGTATGTCAGGCCCTGTTCTGAAATCTTTTCAGTTATCTATTTTAGGAAAAGACAGAAAAATCCCTTGTGGAATTGTAAGTAATTGTGAGGTGATGCCGAGTGCTATAAAGACAAGCAAATAGGGATAAAGAGCATAGAGAGTAGAAGTGGTCCTAACTTATGGAGGGTGGTCAGGACAGGCATCTCTGAGAGTATGATATTTGAGCAAAGACTTGGAAGTGGAAGTGAGCCATGAAAATATCTAGGGGAAGAGTATTCTAAGCAGAGACCACAGCAAGTGCAGAGGTCCCAAAGCAGGGGTTCTCTGGCATGTTCATGCTAAAGAAACAGGAGGGAGACCTAAGTGGCCAGAGCAGTGAGCAGGGAAAGTGGAGAAGTGAGTTCAAGGATGAAGGGGGTGACTGTGAGACCTGGAGTTTACTGGAAGGGATGTAGAGGATTTTGTGCAAAAGGAAGACAGTGGTCGGCCTCAGGTTTAGAAAAAGATCATTCTAACATGGAAAGTGGGTTTTGTTGGGGCAAAAACAAGCAGGGGGACCCATTAGGAGGTTATTAGAGAAATCCAAGTGAGAGAAAAATGGACCTTTGGACAAGGTGGTACCATGCAAATGAAAGAAGTGTTTAGCTTCTGGATATATACGTTTAAAATTGAGCCAACCAGACTTAGCGATGAGTGGGATATGAGAAGGGAGAGAAGATTACTGCAATGATTTTTATTTGAATAACTGTAAAAATGAAGTGGTCTTTTCCTGAAAGGGAAAATTTAGAAAGAAGTTTGAGGGTCAAACTCAACAGATGATATTTTGTTGTTCATAAAACAAATTGCTTAAAATAGATTTATATGCAATAGATATAAAATAGATTAAATAAAATATAAGTAGGTTAGATTTCTATTCTAATATTAGGAACCAATTATTATTTCAAATATAATTATTTCGTGTAATAGTTTTTTTAAATGTCATGCTGTAAGTTTTTAGTTCTTCTTCTTTCAGTTGCTTGTCTTTATATCTTCACCTAAAATTTCAGGTAAAATTTATAAATTATTAACCTGCCATATGGAAAGTTCTTTTCTACTTTAATTAGAGGAAAGGTATTAAAAGCAAAAGAATATCCAAAAAAAGAATTTGCAGAATTCATTTTCTAAGCATAATTAAATTAAAACTAAGCATAGTTTTTGTATGAACTTTTGTTTAGGATATTAAAGTCCATTTATTTCTTTGTCATTGTTTTCCTGTAGGTGTATGGCAATCTAACATCTTGCCAAGCTCTTGGAAATATGTGTGTAATGAACATGAATTCTTATGACTCCTCTACTTTTGATGCATGTGGATTTTTTCAGGTTATCTTTGAAAATACTGCTGCACTGGGCACTGTTCATTCTGTTTCCTTTTGGTAAGGTTATTCTAATTAAAGAACCATCATTTTGACCAAATTCGGTGCAGTTACTTTCATAAATATGTACTAAGACCGTTCCCCCTTTATTAAAACAATTGTGATTGTTTATAGGAGACAGAATCTTCCATGGCTGTTCTATGGAGACCAGCTAGGATTAGCACCTCAAATACTTAGTACTACACCTCTTCCTACAAATTTCAGTTTTAAAGGGGAAAACCAGGTACAAATCTCTATATTGTTGAAGGTTAACTACATTTTGATTTATAATTTTGAAAGGTAATAAGAATATTACTAGACATAATTCTTGATAGATTTTTTAAAATTTTAATGACTAAATTAAATCTAGATATTAGCTGCTGAGAAACTAAACAATATCGAGTTTGGTTTTCTTACTTGAGAGTGTGGATACCTCTGGATTGTGTGTTATGGTAGCAAGAAGTACTTGTGGGTTGGGAAGGTTGTCATCACCAAACGCAAAGCCTTCTCTGTCCTAGATCTCCACATTTTTAAAAAGGGCTGCCAAAGATTGAGTGGGATTCTCTGCATTTCCTCAGCATGTCACAGGTCCAAATTCTTACCTTCCTTTTTTTGACCTTCTAGAATGAAAGACTAGATTATTTCCTCCTCTATTCATCCCCCATTCACGTACACACACACTCATTTAACAGGTTTGAAAAGAAGTTATCTGTCACTGCCTCTCAATTCTGAAGTAATAGTTTTTGTGCAAAAACCCAGTCCATTTATATTAAGTGTGTTTAATCAGAGAGATACACTGATTAATTTTGCCTCAAAGTAATGATCGATTAATTCAGTATTTGATCTCTAGAAAAAGAAAAGACCAATTGGCAATGAAAAAATTTATATAGACTATTATATATACTCTGAAAGTCTAAACTCTGAAAGTTTTTATAGACCATTATATATATTTATAGACTTCCAGAGTACATGACATTATTTTATTCTTGTTTTTCTTTAAGCAGAATACAAAACTGAAGTTTGTTGCTGCTTCCTATGATGTGAGAGGAAATTTTCTCAAGTGGCAAACTTTAGAAGGAGGAGTTTTACAGGTGAATATGATTCTAGAGAGAATCCCTAACGTGTCTTGTTTTTGACTGAGGTGAAGATGAGGAAAAAACTAGATTATCGCTTGAATAGAGTGTCAGTTTGCTTACTAGAGTTGATTTTTCTTGTTTTGTTTTAAATTGGAATTTCTTAAAACTACTTTAAGTTATAACAGAGATACCCCCTTAACTTTTCACTCCCTTGATAACCTTAAATAAGTAAAGTATTATATATAAAGTATATATCCATGTTAAGTCTTGAGAACCCTTGACTATAAGCAAAGAAAAGATTCATGAGAGATGTTTATCAGTTGTGTTCTTTTGTTGTAGCTTTGTCCAGACACAGAGACAAGACTAAATGCTGCTTTTTCTTTTGGAACAACCTATCAACAAAGTGTAAGTTGGAACTATTTTAGACAGTCTACATTTTGGCTTCATTTTTCACATCAGCAATAATTGGAATAATTATTGAATTTTTGAAATTAGTAATTTTTTGTGAAGTGAAAGTGAAAGTGAAGTTGTTCAGTTGTGTCTGATTCTTTGCAACCCCATGGACTGTAGCCCACCAGGCTCCTCCATCCATGGAATTTTCTAATCAAGAGTACTAGAGTGGGTTGCCATTTCCTTCTCCAGGGCATCTTCCTGACCCAAGCATCAAACCTGGGTCTTCCCGCATTGCGGGCTAATGAATAATTTATGGATGATTTTTATTAATATAATCAGCATGAAAACAGTACCTTGTCATCCATAGAGTCTTAAACATCATAATTGTGTATTTGCTTCTGGCATATAGGTCTTAAAAATAATCTCTACTTTTGAGGATTTTAGAATGAAGTAGAAGTACTTCATTTTTAATAAACAATAAAGTGTTATCACTGCCTCCTCCCTCCACCCTCCAGTAACAAAATGGTTCCTTTTCTCTCCCTCCATGCTCACCTCCCTCCCTCCCTGACCTTCCTTCCTTTGGTAGTGCATTTTAAAACTACAGTATGGGACAAAGCAATATTATGAGCCGTTAAACATTTGAAAGACCTTCAATAGTCTACAAAAATACTTCTTGATAAAATGCATGTACACACACCACAGAACAAAACTGTGATTCCAGCTTTGTTAAAATAACAAAAAGCACCATTGGGGAAAATAGATGAGAAAAAGAAACATTTTTAACAGTGGTTATCTCTGGATGGTGGGATTACAGATTATTTTCTTTCTTTTTCATATTTTCTATCATGAACTTGAATTTGCTTTTATTATCAGAAATGACTTCTGTGTTACTTTAAAAAACTGTTGTGTGTCTACTTTGGGCCAGAATAATCAATACTTGTTAAATGCCCACTGCTCTGTCCTCAGCATTTTATCATTTTTATCTCATCTGATCCATGAAATAGCTTTGTAAAATACATACTAGTTATGTTTTATGGATGAGAAATTGTTGCTCAGTAAGATTAGGTAGTTTGTTGAAATTCTTTCATCAAGTAAATGGTCTGTTAGGCTTTAACCGTGGTTTTTTCCATCGAACCCAGTTGCCTCTCAGGGAGTTCACAACCTAGTAAAGAAAACAGCTATATAGACAAAGAATTGAAAAGAATGTGATGTGTTGGTCTATAGATATGAACAAGGAACCATGTTGGTCCAAAGAAGGGTCCTTAATGGTTCCTAGGGAAGTTCAGAAAGGCTTTACACAGTAAGTGACACTTGAGCCTGCAGAATGAATATGAGTTTACCAGGGAGCACAGTGGGGAAGGGAATACCAGGCAGGAATACCATTTGCAGTGTCAGAGAGATGTAGAATAGCATAGCATATTTAGGGACTATAAGTAGGTTAGTGTGACTGAACCACAGACAAAGAGAAAGCAGTGGGAGATAAACCTGGCACTATTAAGGGGAGTCACATCATAAACAGTGTATATGAGGAGAAAGAGTTGGGACCTCACCCCACAGGATAGGAGTTTTTAAACCTTTTTATTGCTGTACAGTTACAGTTGAGAATGAATATACAGCCTCTCCAGCTGGGTTGTAGGACAAGATTCAGGTGGTTCTTTACTGTTAGTTATTTTGGCCCTTATAAAAGAGTCATATATAGTATTCATGTTTTAAAAGACGTATGAAAATGTGTATAAACAGTATAGTTGGAAGATACTTTCTTTTACAATGACAAATCTTTTAAAGATAATAAATATGCTTTCTAACTTTCAATTTGGGCACTTTTAATTTTATTTTTCAGTGTGAGATTCCTATCCCTAAGATCTTAACTGACTTTCCTAATCCTACATTTTATGATGTGTACCTTGAATATACTGATGAGAATCAGCACCAATATATCTGGGCTGTGCCTGTGTTAAACTTAAATCTTCAGCACAAGAAAATGTTTGTGAACCAAGGTAAGGCATCTATACATACCACTCTTTCTCTGAGCTGAAATCAATAAATAAGTCAACCAACATAGCTTAATAAACCACAGATTATAAGAAAAGTCATGGATTCTCTATGATTGTAAGCTTGTTTGTTTTTTTAAAATATTTATCTATTTGACTGCACCAGGTCTTAGTTGCAGCATGTGGGATCTAGTTCCCTGACCACAGATCAAACCTGGGCCCCCTGCCTTGGGAGCACGGTGCCTTAGCCACTGGACCACCAGGGAAGTCCCTGATTGTAAGGTTTTATATAGCATGCCCCACAGTAAAACAGTAAGGTTGTTGGTATATTTACTCAATGTGCTTAGTCACTCAGTCATATCAGACTGTTTGCGATGCCATGGGCTGTAGTCTCCTCTGTCCATGGGATTCTCCAAGCAAGAATACTGGAGTGGGTTGCCCTTCCTTTTTCCAGGGGATCTTCCCTACCCAGGGATCAAATCCAGGTCTCCTGCATTGCAGGCAGATTCTTTACTGTCTAAACCACTGGGGAAGCCTTATTTACTAAATATATCAGGGTTTTTATTAAGAAATTTTATCATTCCTGAAAGTTTTTTCCTGAGAAAAACAGTAGAACTGTAAAATCAGGGCTTCTTCAAACCATTGAGCTGCTTTTTGGACAAATTAGTTTCTTTTGTTGTTTTTCATTTTATAAAATCCTATTTATTCAGGTAATTTGCAGGGAAAATCCTTCCAAACTGATGAAAAGTCCAAACAATCAGAAAACTTCAAGTGCGGCGGGGAAGGCTGTTACTAGGAATTTCTTACAGCGGGAGTTGTTTTTGCAGCCATCTTTTTAAAAGAAAGTGTACTAATTTTATGTTTTAAAATTGTCCAGTAATCTTCACTTTAAGTGCCACCTTGAACAATTGAAAGTATTTTTTTAAACCCATCTTTTTTTTTTTTAATAAAAGACAGTAGTTCGGGCAAGTGGCTTCTGACTCGGCGCATTTTCCTAGTGGATGCACTAAGTGGACGGGAAAATGACTTAGGAAGCCAGCCAAGGTTAATTAGAGTCGCTACCCAAATATCACTGAGGTAAACAAACGTCTAATTTACCGAATGAAGCTTGGACTATGTGGGAAAATGTCATAGTGAAAGTGTTGTAATTATCAGATTAAAACAGTAAGAACACCTCAACTGGAATGATACATAATGTGTTCTCAGATGTCTGTATAGATTGGGATAGACTAATAGAGGGGATAGTTACTTCAGAAGGGCTTAAAGAGTTTGCCAAAATTCGTATCCTAAGCCCCACTCTAGACTTGCCAAGTTAGAGTGAGTTGAGAGGTGGGGAGCAGTGAAGATCAGCGGGCTGACTCCGGTGTATTAGAGCCTGCCAGATGCTTGCAGCAGGCGGGCCTCCTGTGGCTCCATCTCCTTTAGCACCCACTGCTCTAGGTTGGCCCTCATTAGTTATCAACACCTCACTCTTCCTCATATACTTTGATGATGGCCCTGCCTTAGTGCCATGCAGCCTTTACTGTCTCTCCTCCGCTGTGAGATTCCTGTCTCTAACCTTAGCCAGCTTTTCTACTCTAGTATCTTATGATGTGCACCTTGAATACACTGATGAAAGCCAACGCCATCATCTTTATGGCATTTCAACATACACTGCTTTTTCACTGTTTTTTCATTTTGATTTTCACGATAACCTTGCATGAGGTAGGCAGTACAGAAGCTTTGTCATAAACCTTTCTGAAATCTACCTGTACTGTTTTTAGCATTCCCTCAATCTGCCAATGTAGATTCCCCAATGTAGTGAAAATGAAGTTGAAACTAGCCAGGCCTGACTTTATCTTGATGAAACCATGTTGGCCACTGGTACTTGGCATCTTCCTTTCTGAGTTTACAAACGATATGTTACTAATGTGTTGAATTCAGCAAAATGTACCCTATTATGTGCCATAGATAGTACTAGATGTGCCACGTTATCTTTGTTTAAGAATTCATCTTTTTTTAATATTTATTTTTATTTTATTTATTTATTTGGCTGTGCTGGATCTTAGTTGTGGCACGTAGAATCATTAGTTGCGGCATGAGGGATCTAGTTCCCTGATCAGGGATTGAATCTGGGCCCCTGCGTTGGGTGTGTGGAGTCTTAGCCACTGGACCACCAGGGATGTCACCAAGAATTCATCTTTTTTTCAAAATCAGGATATTATTTGCCTTTCTCTAGGTGTTACTCTTGAGTATTCCGCAAAAGTGGTACACAGTACTTCATTGATTTTATTTGTAAACTTTGTAGGACCTAGATCAAGAAGTGTTTTTTGAGGGTGTATTTTAATCTAAAGTTTTGACCACTTCAGATTTAGTTTATGTTTAACCTTCTCTAGTTTTTAATAACTGGTGGTTCTGAGATCACCAAGACTATTCATATCACATTCAGAGGAAACAGTAAGTTATATGTATGTTTAAGGGCCTCAGTGTATTTTTAACTAAAAATGAATTTTCTTTTAAACAGCATCCACCTTGTACCCAACACAAAAAATGGAAACATTTACCCTCCCTTAATTACCATTGCCTACAGTGACATTGATGTCAAAGATCCCAACAGCCAGTCTGTGAAGGTGAGTTCCTTCCTGGTCATTGCCTCTCTAATGTGTTACTGTGAAACTGATAGAGTTTGCATTATGGTCCAAAGACTGTTAGTCCTTTTCAGAATTTTAAATAGTCAAGACAGTTACTTTTTACTAATGGTGGTAAGAGGTGAGTTCTTACGATTCTGCACATAAAAAGAACTAAGTTTGTCAGCAGATAGTGTCACCAGCCGCTGGGCCTCCCTGTTCTGGATGCCAGGATATTTCTCGTTCTCTTTGGCCACCTTGCTTCTGTTAAGATTTGTCTCCTTGCCTGACTAAACCAGGAACTCAAACCTTAAGTGGGCATATGTGTTTCTTTTCTCACCAGTCTTGCCCACTTGATAGAGACGTACTTAAACAGGCAGAAAGAGAATCAAATTATTAGCTTTATAACTAGTAGAACTAGTTATAACTAGTTTATAGTTTATGAAAGTTTATAACTGTTTCACTGAAGTGAAATAGAGAATGCAGTTTGGACCTACAACCAATTAGTCTTCTGACAGTTTCCCAACTCAGTTAAACTTCACCCCAGAACCCGAGTCCTCCCCTGCCGGGAAGGGCCTGTATGTGGAAGTGAGACCATGCACACACGGAGAACAGGCAAAAGAAGGAGCCTGGCAAAGGCCGAGCTCTGCCCCGCCAGGCGACTGAAGTGTCCCTGCCCGAGGAGGGGTAGGTAAGAGAGGATGGAGATCGGGACCAGAGCTCACCCTTCCAGACTTCTTCCTCATCCCCTCTCTCCTCCAGAAGCATGACAGTTGGAAGGTGCACATTCCTTATCTCCAAGACTCACTAATAGCTTTACATTTCTACTGTTTCACTTCACTGACTTTTCATGTTCTAGTTCCTCAGCCAGCCAGTGTTCTTGGCCTCACTGTTGTGCTCGCACCTCTGCTCAGCTACTGTTGGATTCAGGCTCTCATAAAGCGAAAAGTAGGCACCTGATTCGACGTTTCTCTGAAAGATGGCACATCCTCAGTTTTATTAACTGATTTGATGCTAAATTGGTTTCTGTTGCCTAAATTTATATACACTGTAATGAGAGGAGAAAATCCAGGAACAGCTTAGTAACAACAAAAGACTGCCTTGTTTAGATTTTCCTGGAATGTCATTTTTGGGTAGTTAAAAATATGTTTATCTTAATATAAAACACTTCTGGATGTTTTCTTTAAATATGTTTCATGTCCAAAATATATCTAAGCTGTTTTGACAAATTGGAAAATATGAGGTAGGAAAAAAGTTGAGAGAATCATAGAACTATACTGAGGAAGCCCACCTCAATTCATTCTAATTATAGAATGCACAGTTTTCATCATTTCTTAATTTCTCATGACAGCTATTTTAAAAATTCTACATTCATTTTGAGCAGCTGTATCTTTGCTGTCGTACCATCTCTGCAAATGACCTATCTTCCTGTTTTTCTGAGCAGATCAAAACCATCCAATATGAATTCCCTCAGATTTCCTCTTTAATACTTCAGTATCTCTGTTTCAATCTTTCTCGACTCCGGTTCCTATTTCTAAGAATAAAGGACTCTTCCCACTTTCTTAAGTGAATTTTAAACCCGTACTTGTTTAGGTTGTTTTCTCCTATTTAATTTTACATATTTTATTATAACATATTAATGTGTATTTTCTCCTGTTTCACCCCCATCCCTTTATTCGGCCAGTTTCTCTGCTGGTTCCTTTCCTTTCAGGTTGCCCTATCTTAAAAACAAATTAGCACAACCAAACCATAAAATCTTCTGTCAATTCTGTCAACAATTCAGCTTGCTATCATGTGTCTTTCCTTGATTTCCCAACCATTTATTCTTTCATCATTTGCAGTTTGGGTCCTGCCATTTTGCTTCTTTGAAAACCTCTTTAATGAAACCAGTGAGGTATTCCACATACGCTGGCTTTATTTCTTTAACTTTACACTTATACAGTTGACCCTTGAACAATATAGATTTGAACTGCATGGTTCTGCTTATATGTGGACTTTAAAAATTTTTTTTAACTAAATATGTACTGCAGCACTCTGCAAAGTTGGTCGAATTCATGGATGTGGAAGACCTGCTCTAAAGTTCTATCTGGATTTTTGACTGCATCAGAATTGATGCCCCTAAACCCCGTATTGTTCAAGGGTCAGTTGTGCAACATTTGACTCTACTGGTGACCTCCTCCTCCTCCTGTTCTATGACCCTGGTGAGACTTAGGTGTCTTCCCTCTCCTATTTCTCATGCTACTGTTTCTCTTAATCCTTTATGATTCATCTCTCTCCTGTCTCTGTATAATTGTGTCCCTAAGATTCTTGTTTACACCTTTGATTAATCTGCCTTCTTCCTATGTGATTGTTTAGCCAGTTGCTGAACTCTTGATACGCAGGATAGGTCACATGCCTCAGTTACAGAAACCTATCAGAAAATGAAATACGATTAGTTTGACTTGACTGCCATTAACGAGCCTAATCTACCTTCTAATGAAACCCTCTTTCTTTAATATGTGCTCTAAATGGATATTTAAAGTAGTGTGGGTAATTCCCCAAAGTGTATTTATTTATATATAAGTAAAGGTCAACTCAAGTAATATTGATAATTTAAAAGTATGATATTTTTGGTAAAATTCAACTGTGAATGTATTTTTATAGTAAAAATAGGTTTGTATCATATAACCAGTATGGCTAATTTGCTTTCTTTTAAATATCAGGTTTCTTTCTCAGTAACATATGAAATGGATCAAGGAGAAGCACATGTCCAGACAGATGTGAGTTTCTTTTAACCTGTCAAAATACTTTCAGTATATTTTTTAATTAAAACAAAATTTTTTTACATGTTCAGGAAAGTTGTCAAAATAAAGAGATTTGCCATATATCCTTCACCAAGTCTCCCTTAGAGTTAACATCTTACATAACTGTAGTTACTGTTGTTATTCAGTCGTTGGTCGTGTCCACCTCTTTGTGACTCCCATGGACTGCAGCACGCCAGTCTGCATGCTGTAGTACAGTGGTCATAATCAGGAAATTAATATTGATGTAGTCCTGTTAACTAATCTGGGCCTTCCTGTGGCTCGGTGGTAAAGAACCCACCTGCCAATGCAAAGACGCAGGTTCGATTCCTGGGTCGAGAAGATCCCTTGAAGAAGGTAATGACAACCCACTCTAGTATTCTTACCTGGGAAATCCCATGGACAGAGGAGCCTGGCGGGCTGCAGTCCATGGGGTCATGAAGAGTTGGACGTGATTTAGTGACTAAACAACAACAAATTAACTAATGTAAATACTCTTTGGATTTTATGGATTTTTTTCACTATCCTTTTTCTGTTTCAGGACCCAACCATCGTGTGTCTCCTTAGGTCTGTGACAGGTCGTCAGTCATTCTTTGTCTCATGACTGACCCTAACACTGGTATTTTGTCCTTCAGTTGGTTTTATCTGGTATTTTCCCATGATTAAATGTAGTTTTAGCATACATACCATGAAAGTGATGTTATACCCTTCTCAGTGAGTTGTATCAGAAGATACTTGGTGTCAGTATATCTTATTAATGGACTTCCCAGGTGGCACTAGTGGTAAAGACCCTCCTGCCAATGCAGGAGAGATAAGAGACCTGGGTTCGATCCCTGGGTCAGGAAGATCCCCTGGAAGAGGACAGGGCAACTCATTCCAGTATTCTTGTCTAGAGAATCCCATGGGCAGAGAAGTCTGGCAGGCTACGGTCCATAGGACTGCAAAGAGTCAGACACGACCGAAGCTACTTAGCACACATGTTGTTAATGTTGATGTCAACTTGGATCATATAGCTAAGATGATATCTTCAGAGTTCTCCATTGTCTTCTTCTACTTATAATTAATAAGTGTCTTGTGGGGAAATACTTGAGATTATGCAAATATCCTGCTCCTTTTTATTCTTTTGCCCTCTAATTTTAGCATCCATTGCTAATTTTTGGCCAGTAAAAAATACTACTGTGATATTTGTCTGATGGTGGTTGTGTTTTTCCATCATTTCTTCTATATTGATTAGAATTCTGTAAATAGGAACTCTCCCTTTGTCCACGTGGATTTATTTATTCATTTATTATTAGGTCAGTATGGACTCATGAATATTTATTTATTCTAGCAATTTTAATTCGTTACCTTCATTTTCTTGCTCAAATTGTCCCAGATTTGTCCATTGGGAGTTTCTTCAGTTTGGCGCCTATGTCCTTTTAGTGTACCTTCTAATTTTTGAGCCCTTTTTTAAGTACTTTGTTACTTTTTATTTACAGTATCTTTGAACATTGATGAAATTACATTATGAAATTACATAAATCTCAATTTTTTTTTTTTACTTTAGATTGCTTTAGGTGTGTTGGGTGGACTAGCTGTTCTATCATCTCTTTTGAAGACAGCAGGTTGGAAGAGACGCATTGGGAGTCCCATGATTGATTTACAGGTATAATCACAGGGCTTTTTAAAGTATATTTTTATCTTTTGACTATTTCATATCCTTCTAATAAGACACAGCTAGCAAATGAGTAAAAAGTTGCCTTGAGTTTCTCTGGGGTATATGACTAGGAGACGTTCATGAGTGGGAAATGTACCCTTGTTTCCCCTCCAGCGTGCACCACGGCTGGTGGCCAGTCTGCACCCACCAGCCATGCTCTTCTTCTTTCCTCGAATCCTCAGCGACACTTGGCTGTTTTCCCACCCTTTCCCATTTTTTGCCGATCTGGTGGGATTAGTTTGTCATCAATTTCCATTTCTTTGATTACGCTTCATATACTTGATTAATCATTTGGGCTTCCCCTTCTGTGAACTTCTTCTTTATATCACTTGCTCATTTTTCTGTTGTTTCCAGTTTTTCTTATTTATTTAAACAAATTTTTTATATTTTATTTTATTTAGTTTTTTTGTATTTTCTAAATATAAATCTTCTTTTGGTTTTTGACATTGCAGTTTCTTCTCCAAGGGTAAATCCATCTGTTATTTTACCTATATGTTACTTTGTTTAGTAGAAACTCTTGATTTTAATGCTGTCAAATCTGAATAGGTTTTCATATTATGGCGTGTGCTTTTAGAATCTTGTTTAAGATATCCTCCCCTATCAAAAAGATATTCTCCCATATTTTATTCTATTAACTTTATGGCTTCACTTCTCATTTAATTGTTTTTTACATTTGTTCTTGTTTTTATTTTCATCTGTCATTTATTGAATATTACTGTAAGCCAGGCACTTTTTTAACCTTGACACGTGTAATTCATTTAGTCCTCACAATAGCTCTATGAAGTTAGGTATCGTGATCATTCCCATTTTATACATGCTGAAATTGTAGAGATTAAGTAAATGTCCTATTCATTTAATGTTTACCATATCAAAGTATAGGTAGTATTTCCAGTTAGCTGATTAAGACAGTGAGAAAGGCAGCATAGTAAACTGGTTTGTGTTGCGTTATCTTCCTGTTTCCAGAGCTAATGTGCCTGGAAATCAGAGGAGGGGGGCTTGATTTACTGTTTGGGAGAGTCAAGAAAGGCATCCAAGAGAAGTGAAGTTTAAGCTGGGTTATCTATGCATTATCTGTTTGAGCACACTCCTGGAGATAGTGAAGGACAGGGAAGCCCGGCATGCTTCAGTTCACGGGTTGCAAAAAGTCAGACACAACTTAGCAACGGAACAGCAGCAACGATCTTCGCATTCCACAAATAGTCACTGATGGTCTGCTGTCTCAGTGCCAGATGCTCTACGAGGTGCTGGGCGATGTGATAATGGGCAAAGGGAGACATGGTCTCTGCCCTCAGAGCTCTAGAGAGTTTGCCAGAGAGAAGAAGAAAAGAATGTCTGTTGAAATAATACTCATTTCATTCCCCAAAACATTTGGGATGGATGTGTGGAGTGGTTAATTATTGAGCAAGTTGTTGGAACTGACAGATGAGGCTAAAATTTAATTTTGGCCTAGGTTGTAAAGGACCTTGTGGATCAGGAATTTACATTTTAATGAGACATCACTGTACATTTTTAAGAAAGAGAGTGACACAGTCCAGTTTACATTTTAGAAAGCCAGCTCTGATGGTGGTATGGAGGGTACGCTGGGGAGAAGGATTCCAAAGTTGAAGAAAATTAGAAAGTGGTTCTAAAGTTCTTAGTTGGTGAAAGATGAGAAGAGTTGAATAAGATAGAAGTTATTGGGAATGGATCAAAAGGTTAGGACCCAAAAGGTATCTAGGAAGTGGCTGCAGTCAGTCCTGACTGATCCATGGATACATGAAATAAGACTTCAAGCTTGAGAAACTGGGTTGATAATAATGTTATTAATAATAATATGTTATAAAGTAGTATAAATAGATTGAGTCTATAACAGCTGTGATTCTCTTTTTAAATTGCAGACAGTTACGAAATTCTTGGTTTACTATGCTGGTGATCTGGCCAATGTTTTCTTTATCATCACTGTAGGAACAGGTCTTTACTGGCTTATTTTCTTTAAAGTAAGTGATTTTCTGAATTTAACCTTAGTGCCACAACCTGAATAACTTGTAAGCTCTCTTTATAAAGCAACTGTTTTTACTTGAGGGTGTTTCTAATCAAGAGTATTGGGGCAAGTGCTAAACTCACCATAACCTGAGTGTGTTGTGTTTATTTTATGCTTTCTTTGGGTTATAAACTGTGCCTAGTAAAAACCTTGTGTGGTCATACTTAGCAGTGTAATTTTCATCACAGGCGCAGAAATCTGTCTCTGTTTTGCTACCAGTGCCAGCTCAAGAAAAACGTTTTGTTACTTATGTGGGATGTGGTTTTGCTCTGAAGGTAAGTTTCAAAGCACAGGTTACTGAATTTTAAAACTCTGCTTAAAAAAAAAAAGGTCTGCTAATAAACACGTAAGTCTTCAGAGTTAAAACGCTTTCAAAATCTTTGCTGTAAAATTTAGTTTAATTTTAGAAGAAAGTATGAATTGTTCTATTTTACTAGGAAGTCTGCATTTATTTATAATAGATGTCTCATTCTGAAGCTCTACCTTAAATACCTTTTAATTGTTTAATGTAGACTGTTAATCGAGAGTGAACGGTACCACGCTGGATAAAGCACTGAACTTAGCCTTGGTTCTCTCTGCCTCCACTTTCCTTTCCTCCTCTTCCCATGGCAGCCCCCTCCCTGCTTCACTGTTCTTTCAGTGGATGTGATGCTCTTTACATGCCTCTTTCGTACATCTCATCCAGTTGTGTTGTGATTATTAAGTGACTACTGTTCCCACTGATGTGTGAGCCCCAGGAAGAGAGGAATCATCCCATACTTAGATTTTTAACCTTTGTTTGATCAATAATGCACCTTTGCAGAAGAAGCCTCAGTTTAAACATTCTGAAGTGAAAAGGATTTTTTTTTTATCAGAAATTTTAGTAGCAGAAATAGAGAAAAAGACAGTAAGAGCATCCTAAAACTTTTATTAGGACAAACAAATTACAGTTGGGAATACCTTTCCTTATAAAGAAGTTAAAGGCTTTTGGAAACCTTGGGCAAGAGAGTCAATTACTCAAGATCCCTGTGTGAGGAGGGAGGTAGTATGTCTCGTTTCATATTCCTGTTTCAAAGAAAGACAGAAGAAGGGAAGGTGAATTAATATGTGTGTAAAAAGTCTATGAATTTGGTGATTGTTAGTTGATGAGTTTCTGGTGAGCCCCTGATGGTATTATGACTTTGTCGCTTGTGAAACTTACAGTGAAAATGTTAGTCACTCTGACTCTTTGACTCTCTGCGACCCGATGAACCGTAGCCTGCCAGGCTCCCCGTCCATGGGATTCTCAGCAAGAATACTGGAGTGGGTTGCCATTCCCTTCTCCAGGGGATCTTCCTGACCCAGGGGTTAAACCTGGGTCTCCCCGATTGCTGGCAGCTTGTTTACCATTTGAGCACCAGAGAAACCCCATATATCTTCTTGTGATTGCAAATGTTCGTTTCTTAAAGAATCAGTGTTGGTTTCATAAGCAGGGTTGATGCCAATACTTTAAGGTGTTTTGTTTGTCATTCTCAGGCTCTGCAATTTTTGCATAAGCTCATCTCCCAGATTACCATAGACATATTCTTTATTGATTGGGAGAGGCCTAAAGGAAAGGTTCTTAAAGCTGTTGAAGGTAATGAAAGTAACCATTTGCACCAAGTTTCTTTTGCCACCATTGTAAAGCAAAGAAGGTGAAATGTTTTACTCATTTTATCTCCCCAACCAGGTGAGGGTGGTGTTCGGAGTGCTCCTGTTCCTGTAAGCATATGGAGAACTTATTTTGTGGCAAATGAATGGAACGAAATTCAGACTGTGAGAAAAATTAACTCACTCTTTCAAGTACTTACTGTCCTCTTCCTTTTGGAGGTATAAACTATTTGATATAATTGTATGCAGTTTATGGGTGCCTCATAAATGTTAATTTAATTCCAACTAGATTTTCCTGTCAGTGGTAGAAGTTTAAAATATTGTTACTGAGCCATTAAAAAATACACATAACATGAAATTTACCATCTTAATCATTTTAAGTGTGCAGTTCAGTACTGCTAAGTACGCTCCTGTTGTTTTACAGTCCATCACTAGATCTCTTCATCTTGCAGAAGTAAAACTCTGTGCCTGTCTTCTTCCCTCTCCCCAGACCTGGAACCCCCATTCTACTTTCTGTCCTTGAACACCTACTAAGGACCATGTCCTGTGTTAGGATTTGGGGCCACAGCCTAACAAGACCCTCTCAATGGGCACATGCTTATGATCCCTTTACAGTTATTTGATGGCCCTGGGTAGAATTATCAAAGGAAGTATTCAGTACTGAATATGAGACTGAAATATGGAAACTGTATAAGTAACATTTTCTGTAGAACTAGCTGCTTAAGTAAGGTTTGATATAAATTTTGTCAGACTGCTTTGTTTGTCTGCCTTCCTTTTTCCTTCTTTCTTGCCTTTCTCCTTCCTTTCCTTTTTTGAACCTAGAAGAACGTGTTGTGTCTCTGGGACATAAGAACACTGTCTCAAAAACTTACTTATAGTCCTGTTTTTTAAAGCTTAAAAGGGATTGTGTGAGAAAGTAGTTTTATAATCAAGTAAGTTTGGAAAATACTGTATTCCATAAAGTCATGTAACTTCCTTTACCATAGAACTTTCCAGAGCCTTTATGTATGAGAGTAGAAGGCATAGAGGTGAGTATAACATAATATCTTCCTCAAAAGGCATTTTGGAAAATAGTGTTTTAAAGTATAAAAAGTATTTGTGTAGTGCCTGACATGGATTACTGGTTGTTATTGGTAGTTTACTGAAAGTGAAAAGTGAAAGTGAAAATCGCTCAGTGTGTCCAACTCTTTGCGACTCCGTGGACAATAGTCTATGGAATTCTCTAGGCCAGGATACTGGAGTAGGTAGCCTTTCCCTTCTCCAGGGAATCTTCCCAACTCAGGGATCGAACCCAGGTCTCCTGCATTGCAAGTGGATTCTTTACCAGCTGAGCCACAACTTTATTTTTTTGACAGAAATTTTTAAGCTTTGTCAGTGTGTATGATAATAAGGTTATATTTGGCCTTGAGTCGAAGGGGATGACAGAGGGTGAGATGATTGAATGGCATCACCGACTTGATGGACTTGAGTTTGAGCAAGCTCCAGGAGTTTGTGATGGACAGGGAAGCCTGGTGTGCTGCAGTCCATGGGGTCACAAAGAGTCAGACACAACTAAGCAACTGAACTGAACTGGCCTTGAGCCATATTGAAGAGACTACCTAATGAACTAGCTAAAATTTTGTATTAAATACTTTGTAATTAAAATACTGGATAATTATTTTTATCTAGATTTTCTACTGTTTGTACAAACTTGAATACTTCAGTTTTTCAAGGGAAGGAGTAGAGAGAGGTGTCTCATTTTCAGACTACAGGAGTTTTCTTTATTCGTATCTTTTAAAATTATTTTTTCTTTTTATTTAAGGTTGTGGGATTCAAGAACTTAGCATTAATGGACTCATCCTCTAGTCTTTCCAGAAGCCCACCTAGCTACATAGCTCCTTACAGCCGCATTTTGAGATATGCTGTGTCTTCTGCTCTTTGGCTGGTCATTGGAATTATACAGGTAACAGGAGATTATACTTTGAAGCAACATTACCTCTCTATATTTTTAACCTCTGTTTATATACTGATCTTCAGCTCTTGACCACAACAAGATTTCTATAGTATAAAGAAGGTGACAAGAACAATAATAAAGATAGCTAATAGCTAATTCTTATATAGTATGGTAATCTAGGCACTGTGTTAATTGCATTACACAAAGGAACTTACTTAAACTTTATAGTAGCCCTCAAGATAGATTCTTTTAAATATCCTCATTTTATAGATGAGGATGTGGTGGCACAGAAAGGTTAAATATTTGCCCAAATATGATATTAGAAATCTATTAGAAATGAGCAGAACTGGAATTTGAGCCCAGAACAGTTAGAAATCAGCAGAACAGAAATTTGAACTCAGGCAATCTGATTTCAGATTTCATTTCTTATCAATAGTGGGGCTCTGAAGGGTCTTTCAGAGTCTGTAGGATTTAGTTTATATATAATGATAGGAATTGCTAAGGTACCCTCAATCTTTGCTTTAAAACTAACATATTATTTATATTCATTTACATATCATTAAATCTCACTCAAATTACCAGTACCCCTGCTGAAATTTTCTTTGAAGTATTAATTGAAATAGCTGAAACTAAAAATAAATCTGAGGACCCAGGGCTCTAGCAGAGGATCTTTACTATGCTTATTTCCTTTATCTTCTTATAGCTAAAAGAAAATAAAAAGAATGAAAGGAAAAAGAGAGAGAGAAGCAGGAGCTACAGCACTTAACTAACTCTAGTCTCTGCATTTCTTTCTCTTGCTTACAGACACTCCCATGAGTGGGAAAAGCCTTTCAGTTTGATTAAGATTTCTTTAACTTTTAAATAAGCAAAACTTTTAAACTTCCTATAAACTAGAGAGCTTATATTTGCCTTAAAAACGAAATTTTAAAAGATTTTGGAATTGAAGTCCCCAAATTCCTACAGAATTGGATCTAGGTGTCATTCTGTGACCTGAGACTACTGTTTAAATTTGTATTTATTTTAAATTGTTAAGACTTGTGCAAACCTAAAGCTGTAGAATAGAGCTTGTGAGGGATAGTTTGACAGTCACAGGAGAGAGACAAACAGAAATTAGGATTTGAAATAAAATTAGATTAAAATAATATGGGGTTTGGTTTTTTTTTCCCGTTTCAGTTTTGTTTTATTGAGGTATAACTGCGTGAAAGTGAAAGTTGCTCAGTCGTGTCTGACTCTTCATGGAATCCTTCAGGCCAGAATACTGGAGGGTAGCCGTTCCCTTCGCCCAGGTCTCCCACACTGCAGGCAGATTCGTTACCAGCTGAGGCACCAGGGGAGCCCTGGTGACATACGCCAGTGACGTGACAGTGACTGTTTGTCACTGTAGGTCACCAGTACAGTGGCATACAGCACTGTATTAGTATAAGGTGTACAGTGATTTAACTTACATATATTATGAAATGATTACCACCATAAGTTTAGTGAACATCCATCATCTCATATAAATACAAAATTAAAGAAATAGAAAAATATTTTTCCCTTGTGATGAGACCTCTTAGAATTTATTCTCTTTTACATATAACATACAATAATGTTAATTATATTTACAATGTTATACATTATATCTTTAGTATTTATTTATGTTATAACTGGAAGTTTGTACTTTTTGATTGTCTTTATCAAATTCTACCCATTTCCCCCTCCAACCACCACCTCTGGTAACCAGAAATCTGATCTGTTTTTCAAGAGTTTGTTCATTTGTCTGTTTTTGAAGTGTAATTGACAACACAGTGCTAGTTCCTCGTACATAGCATAGTGATTTGATATTTCTATACATTTCAAAATGATCATCATGTTGATCTAGTTACTCTATCATAATACTCTGGAGTTTGATATTTATCATCAGTATAAGAGTAAGTGAATATTTATTTTTACTTATACCAGTATAAGTTTTTGTGAACAGATCAGATTTATCTGGATGTAGAGAATTTAAAGGAATCCATCTGAAGCTTTTCATATTGGTTGAGTACAACAACTAAAAAAAAATAACCCACACTGACAGGCCTGAAATAAAAGTAGCTTTTCTCTGTCTCATGAGAAAGAGAGTAGGGGTAAGCAGTGCAGGGCCAGCAGGGTGGCTGCCGTCAGACCTGGAGGCCTGTTGTCCTGCTTTGCCCCTCAGGACTTCACCTCTAAGGTCACCTTGTGGGCCATAATGGCTGATGGGGTTGCAGGTGTGAACCAGGGAAGGCGACCTCGCCCTTTCCTCTTTTTTTTTTTTCCTTTCCACTATGAATTTTAATTGAAAACATTACAACAGCTTAACTACGCATAATGAAATATGAAACTTCAGTAGTTAAATTATTATTATCATTTATGAGGCATTTATTCTTCCTTATTTTATAGACCAGCAGGAAACTTTGCATACTTGTATTTTCTGTTCTCCATTTCAGAGGAAGATTGTGAAGAGAAAGTCTAAAAGTTTTATAAATCAAAACCTAATTGAGAAGTAAAACACAGGGAGAACAAAATCTGTGTATAGCTGAGCGTAGGTGGTTTTTAGCTCATATTTTAGGTATGAAAACAGTTTAGCTCATTTCACATGAAACAAGCAGGTGAAGTAGTAAAGCTGAACTGTGAAAACCCCTATCAATTAGTTTTAGCATGCTTCTTAATTTTCTTTTTCCCCTGGTTTCTTGTCTTCTGTGCTGGAGTCTCGAACAGGTAACCCCTTGAGGGGGTGTTGGTGATAAATGGGCCGTGAAGGAAACATCAGCAAACCCAATAAGGCAAATCCTGCCATAACTATGTAGCCCACCCAGGCTGTTTAGCCACATGCACATAGCTAAATCCAAGTGCTGTAGAAAAGAGTCACCTCCTGAAACATCTGTTCAGCTAGCGCCTGGCCCTTGTAATCCTTGAGTGTGAGCAGTGAGTCCAGACGCTCTGTGAGCGGGCGGGCATGGGGCAAGGACTCTGGCTCGGGGGCCATACGGGCCGGGGGCTGGTCCTCCCTGCAGACTGGAGGGCGGGCTGAGCCGGGGAGTGTGATGACCACTCGCCGCCTTCTCCTTGAGAGCCTTTTCAGAGGTGTCTTCCACCTCTCCTTGGCCAGAACTTGGTCACATGCCCCCCCCCCCCCCCCCCCCCCCCCCCCCCCCCCGTCCGCAGTGCAGCAGCGTGCCCACACAAGGGTCTGTCCCTAGGAGAGGGGAAAGGCTCGTAGGAGCAGCAGCTAGCCGCCCTGGGCACTTTTGTCTGATCTTGTTTGTTTCTCACTCTGCTGTCGTTTGATAGAGACAGGTGTCTCCATGGTCGCATCCTCAGATTATCAGTGTTTATGCATCCTTAAGAGTTCCTTTAACCTGTAGCGGTTCCATAAATTTGTCTCTACAAACTCTTCTTGATTCTCATAAGGTTAGGTTTTATTATTCACTCCCCAGCCCAGCTTCTTCAATTTTTAAGTGCTATCTCTTAAACTTTGTTACTGTTTTTCATGTCATTTAAAGGAGCTTTAAAATACGTACATGGTGTTTTTAGGAAAGGGTTTTCAGTATTCAGCTGCTGCAGATTCATTTATGTATTCATTCCCATATCTGAGTATATTTGATGTGGGAGGCACTGGCGAACCCAAAGATAGGCTCTAACAGGAACAAGTTACAACTTGTGACAAGTGCTGTGAAGGGCGTCAGCAGGCAGATGAGACAGCAAGTAGAGGGAGGTAAGGGGAAGGAAAGTTAGGAGTGGGGACAGCTTTGAATAGGGTGGTTAGGAAGTGTTGTCTTTCTCTGAAGGATATCTAAGGTCTATAGTGTAAACTCTTCTGATTTGTATAACTCCCCTTTGCAGTATTATTAAATCTGTCTAAGAAAACACTTGAAACCACTCCATTTGAATGTTTAACACATTATCTGTAGTTGAAACAGATTACTTGACATATGCTTTTTATATGCTACTCTTATCAGAGAAGATTAATTTGTAAAACAAGCAGTTTCTCTAGTAGACTTCGGAATTTAGGAGATGAGCAGAATTGCAGAACTAGACCTAAATTGGCCATACTGCATTGGTTTATCGTAAGGTTTTCAAAGCCCCTTACTTCCTCTTCCTGTGTTTGTCCTATCTTATTTTAATGACACAGAAAAGTTTTTAAATTCAAAATAAGCCCCCTCAGTGAATCTTAACAGAATTCCAAAACACTCTTCCTTTAACAGAAGAATAGGAAATGCTAAGTAGGATTTTATCCCACAAGAATCATTATTGGCCCCTATGTTCTTGTTTGGAACTTAGTTTTTCTTAATATACTATACTGTGGCTATAAAAGAAAATTAAATCCTAAAATCTAATAAACATGAACTTGGCTTAATGTTTCAGATTGTGTTCTTTGCTGTCTTCTATGAGAGATTTATAGAAGATAAAATTCGACAGTTTGTTGATTTGTGCTGTATGAGTAATGTAAGTACTTTCTGACTTTATCTTGCAACTGTTATTTCTCCCTTTTTAAAGGTCATGAGTACATTAAAAGAGGCTTTAAAAGTGATTTGCTATGATTGGATTTTTAGTCTGATTTCCTCTGGTGGTTAATTCCAGAGATGGTCATAATGAGCTACAAGTTAATATTTGCTGCCTTAAATTTTCCTTCTTTATTTGAAACTTCCTAATTGTAAATCCCTTATGCTCCCAAATAGTTGACTCAGCCTGAAATCCCTGAAAGGTTTTCATATATCAATCTTCTTTCTTCTTTTCTTGGAAGTGTCTTCAGTCTCTTTTCCATCTACTTTTTAAAATACCTCATTATCCTTTATTACCTTATTGTTCCCTTTATATGTTTTCTAAGAATTCAACTCTCATTATTTTGAGAGGAAGGAAGCAATTTCAAGAACTTAATTTTTATTGTTTTGCAGATGAATTGCTAACTGGTCCTTCTCTTTTTATAGATATCAGTGTTTCTGTTATCCCACAGATGTTTTGGCTACTACATTCATGGTAGATCAGTACATGGGCATGCTGATACTAATATGGAAGAAATGAATATGAATCTTAAAAGAGAAGCGGTATATTTTACATCTTTTTCTTTTTTTAAGCTGAGAGGTTCTCATAATTTGGGATTTGTAGTAGTATTTTTTAAAAATCCTCATTGATTACTTTTAAAAGTTGCTAGAATATCAACTCATTAGCCTGAACATTAAAAGGGAATGAATCACATATCATCCTGCAGTTCCTTTATGGAGTGTATTTCAGGGTAAACTGAATAATTCACGAGGGAAAGATCTTCCTAATGGAAGCAAGTAAAAGAATTCTAAGTTAGAAAATCACCATTTTGTATTGACTAATGAATTAATGCATATAGGCTACAATCATCAGTGGATGCCAAAACAATTAAGTGAAAGATAACAGGGAACTTTATAATCAGGTTGACATTATCTGAACACACTAGCTCAATCTTAGAACATGTAAAAATTAGGAAGACTGACATTACGTACAACCTATTAGGTTATAATCAGGTTGACATTATCTGAACACACTAGCTCAATTTTAGAACATGTAAAAATTAGGAAGACTGACATTACGTACTTCCTATTATGGTGCAGTGAGGAAGTACATAATATCACCCATGGAATACTCTTGCCTAAGAAAATTGAGCCTGAAGGTAATCAAGCCTCTAGCTCTAACAGGAAATCAAGTCTCTAGTTTGCAGTAAATAGCGGGGATAGAGAGACAAAATAAGTATACCACAGAAGCATTTAGCCAGATGCAGAATGTTAGGATATCTCGTAGGACAAATGACCTAGTGCCCCCAACAAATTAGAGGCATGAAAAGAAAAGAAGTGATGGTGGTGGTAGAAGAAAGTTGTTAAATGTTAATTTTAAGGAAAAAAAAAAAATATATATATATATATAGATTTTGGATTTTGATTCAAAGAACCAACTATCAAGTAAAAAAAAACCTTTGGAAAAAATCTTGGCAATTTAATGAGCTAAATATTAAATTATATTAAGGAAAGATCAGTTTTATTAGGTGTGAAAATGGCATTTTTTTGAAGGTCTTATTGGTTAGAGATACTAAATTGCAAATGAAATGACATGGTATCTGGGGTTTGCTTTAAAAGAAAAAAGTTGGGAAGATAGATGAAACAAAACTGGTAAAATGGTAATTGTTTCTCTCTACTATATATTTTAGAAAACTTACATGAGAAAATTTAAAAAGGAAAAATATGTACCTGAGAGGAAAAACCAAGAGGATTTATTGATTAAGGGACCATACCTGTAACTCGCAAGAATTTAATACATGGTCACAACATCTCAGAGAGGAACAATTTATTTAATACATTGAACTGAATCAGTTGGTTAACTGTGAGAACTTATACCTGGGTTGAAGAGTTAAATTTAAAAAATGAAACTATGAAAACCTAGAAAAGAATATCTCAGTTTGGGAGATGACAAAGCATAAAATACAGAAAGTATCAAAAAAAGTATTATTTATTGATTTTATTTTATTAATGTATAGAACATTTATGTAGCCACAATTATATAGATAAAAGACATAGGGTAAAATTTCCATAGTAAATATGACACAAAGATATTGATCACAGTACTTAAAATCATATAAATCAATAAGCAAACTAAGTTAAAAGCTTAACAGAGGGAATTCCCTGGCAATCCAGTGGTTAAGACTCCATGCTTCCTTCGCAGGGGGACTGGTTTGACCCTGGTTGGGAAGCTAAGATTCCGCTTGTCACAGGAGCACAGCCAAGAAAAGGAAAAAACCAAGCCAAAAAAAAAACCCTTCAATGACAAAAAGATTTTTTAAAACAAGTAAATAAACAGAATAGACTAAAAACCTCTAAAAATATTAAACTCACGAATCATGGAGGAAATGAATGTAAAAATAACATACGAATACAAAATTTTATTTTAAAAAGCTAATACTTAGTAGCATCAAGGACAGGGTGTAATGGTCACTGATCTTAGGATACATTTTCATAAACCTGCTAGAAAGCATTTGACAGTATATACCAAGAGCTTTCTGAGACTTCATTATCTTTGACTTACTGATTCTATGAATCTAAGTAGCTCAAGAAAATAGTGAACAATGTGAATAACTGATTATGTTCAGGATCTTAATCACAGGGGTTATTTATAAGGACAAAGAATACATAAAAATGAGAGAATATTAAGTAAACTGGTTTATCTATACAGTGAAACATTAGGTAAACATTAAAACTCATGTTTTGTAGAACATTTAATGGTACTAAGAGTTGCTCAGGATATAATGTTACATGAAAAAGAAATCAGTATGATCCAGATTTTATACCATCTCTATGTATATGCATAGACAACAACTAATGAAATACCTTAAAATACTGGCATCTCTTGGTGTTGCAATTATAGAAGATTTTTTTCTTTTTGTATTTCTCTGTATTTTATAAATTCTCTATAATCAGAATTTTTTTTTAATAAAGAAATTCACTACACATAGACTGCCTTTAAGTCAGTAGAAAACCAAGTGTCATATTTGTAGCTTACGTTTAGACAAAGGAGAAGAATGTTAAGCTCTAGAGTAGACAAAGTTAAGAATGGAGGCAAGAATACTTACGCTGAACCTTGAAGCATCTATGAGAATTGGCTAGGTCGGGGGTAGGGTAAAATGTTATAGACATATGGTTCTCAGGAATCAAATTGTGTCAGAGAGACTTGCAGTAGATATCTGGTCTGTAACATTAACCATTGGGTGATGTATCACTACCTTTTTAGTGAAATTAATCAAGGAAGTGTATTCAGAGTGTTTAGAGAACAAAAAAAGACCATTTATAAAAGTTGCTAATTCTAAGACTAGACTTTTTATCATTTATTAAAGAGCAATAAATTGATTATAAAGAAAGCTAAGAATATCAATATATGGTGAAACTAGTATGAGGTGTTTTTTGTTTTTTTTTTTAAGTAGGGAGAAGTAAAGCCACCTGCACAGAGGTATGATGAAGTAGAAATTAGTAAGACCTGGAGGGTAGTGGCAACCTTGGATACTCTTAAAATTGCTTTGTCTCAGATAGAGTTCCAGTACAACTTCAGTTGGCTTCCAAGTCTTATAATATTAAATATTGCATTTTCTTTTTAAGATAGGCAGAATTTTCATTATCTTGATCTTAACATGAATTTTTTTAACTTTTCAGGAAAATTTGTGTAGCCAAAGAGGTTTGGTACCTAATACGGATGGTCAGACTTTTCAGATTGCAATTTCTAGTCAGATGAGGCAACACTATGACAGAATTCATGAGACACTAACACGGGTTTGTATAACTACAATTCAGATATATTTTCTCAATATTTCGTGTTATTTAGATACCAAGAACGTAATGCATGTTTCATTTACCCTTGTCTCTTTTTCACATTAGAAAAATGGCCCTGCTAGACTATTGAGTTCATCAGGAAGTACTTTTGAGCAGAGTGTAAAAGCATATCATACTATGAATAAATTTCTTGGCTCTTTCATCGATCATGTATGTATCATCATTTATTTTTAAGCTAGAGTCAAAATGCAGTATTTAAAAGGTTAGCCAGGAATGTCAATTATTTCTTCAGTCAACTAAGTCAATGAACTTAGAACCCTTGTGGGGTTGGTTGGTTGGTTGGTTGTTTTTGCTGAAAACATTAGTACTTCGTGGATGGAGTTAGGTTATGTAAAAGTAAAATGAGATTTTTATACGTCTTAGCATGATGATTAGCTTAATATATGTCTATACTGGAATTTTGTTAGTTACCAAATATTATCAGTTATTTATTATAGAAATATGCTATGCTTGTATTCATGAAAAGCTCGTTATAAACTTATTTTCAGTACATCTAGCCCTAAGTACTACTAACAGCATTTAAAACTTAAAACATTCTTAAAGAGAATTTTGTTATAAAGTCCAGTGTAATAAATTGTCTTTGAAGAACCAAAGCCAAAGATTTTCTTTGGGTACTTTCATTTTTATTTTTCTCTCCTTTTGATTTTATAAAAATTGGGAAGCATTTATTTCACTGCTATTTTTCAAATGACTCTTATTTTTTGTATTAGGTTCATAAGGAAATGGACTACTTTATAAAAGATAAATTGCTTCTTGAAAGAATTCTTGGAATGGAATTCATGGAACCAATGGAAAAAAGCATCTTTTACAATGGTATCCTTCAAATGCCTTTGCTAAACTTGATTATTTTCCAAGCTTGAAGAACATAATTGTAGTTATTGTCTTTTGATTTTATACTTTTATCGAGGAAACTTAGTAAACGTCAAGGAATTATAGTAGTTTTCTGTATCCCATTTTATTATACGTCATGTAGGAAGAAACATATATACGAGATAATTATTCTACAAAAAAGTAAAAAATGAAGCTTAATTTTAAAATCAGTTGTACACATGGGAGAGATAGTAAAACAAATACATAAAAGTTTATGTATTGAAATATTATTGAAATATTCATTCAGCAGCACACTTATAAAACATTTAAAGAAGAATAATGTTCATGATTTATCTTTAAGTTTTCATTTTATCCTACTTCTTAATGGCACATATCTATGACAGGAATAGTGACTAAATGGTTTTTTTATCATTAAAAAGAAAGTATATATGTCACTTTTAATATATATGTTAATAACCTCTGTGTGGCTTGGGAAGACTGGAAATGGTATGCTATACCCAGTGCCCTGGCCTGGATATCACTCATCCTGGTCTTACTGAGAACCACATGTTGTGCCAGTCCTGGGATACACAGACCGATGGTCCCTCCCTTGGGCATCTTGATAGCAGACTATGGAAGGCAGGCATGTGATGGATGAGTGGAGTGATGCTGGTATAGAAGTGTGTGCAGACACAAGTTAAACTGGGTGTGGAAAGGAAACTTAACTAGACAGAGTGAAGCCAGAGAGACAACGTGGTGAAGTTTGAGCTGTGTCTTAAAAATAAGTTACTGTTGTCAAACAGGAGGGTCCAGGGAAGAGAGGTGAAGACATTTGTGCAGAAGGGGAAAGGGCGTTATGCACTTACGAACTTTATGATTGAAGCCTGGAATGGAGTGAGAGAGTGCATGCGTGATAAAGAGGGCAGAGACCGAATCCCGAAGGCCTTGTCTGACACCTAAGGAGTTTTGCTTTATTTTATTCTGTAGAGCACTTGTTTTCAAAGACATTTTTTAAAAATGTTTTGTCCTACAAGACATGCACTGGTTGCTCCATGAAGGTATGAGAAGAAAATATTAAAATGTCTATTTGCAATTCCACCATTCTTAATTTATATATATTTAAAATTACATGTAGTAGTAATTCATAAACTATGCCTATTATGAAATGCACATTCAGCATTTTATTCTGATAGGGATACATGATCAGAATAATTTGGAAACCACTTCTAATGAACGTGGATGTCATAAGAAAGCCTTCATATCTGATTCATAAATTGGAAGAATTATTTTGGCAGGAGTTAAACAGATGCCAAGACTATAATAATATAACTTAGTCATTAAGAATATAGCTTTCAGAATCTTCTGTTCTTAGGTTTGAAATCTGCTACTAGTTTTGTGAACTTGAGAAAGTTGTTTTCCTTTCTGAACTTTAATTATTAAACTTCTGTAAAGTATAACCTTCTAAAGCTTGTTGCATTTACACACATGTAATAGTGTAAAGAACCCGGTATGGGTAGGCACTCAGTAAAGTGATGTTGTTACCATTTCTAATGATAATAATACAATCATCATCATCATCTTCATCTCTGTTGGGAAATGAGAATATGAGCAAAGGCAGTAGTGATGGGGATAAAGAGGAAGAGATTGCCAGAAATGTTAAGGAAGAGAAAGGGTAGGCGAGAAAGAGCAGTCAACAATGATGTGGGCTTCCAGCTCGACGAGGTGGTTGGTGGCGGAGCCGCCCCTCACTGAGACACGGAGTGCAGGTGGAGATCAGGTGGTGAGGGGAAGAGGATGTGTTCAGTTTTGAATATGTTGTCTTGTGGTACCTTTGGGACATCTTGGAAGAGATGTCCAATCAGCCATTACATGTAAGGGACTGGGGGACTGGATCTGAGGGGAAGGTAGAAGTGCACAGTAAGTGGGAAGTCTCATCAGATAACAGCAGTGACAGATTGCCCAGGAGGAATACACAGAGCTGGCTTGCTTATTTGTTAGAACATGTTTACAGTATATGTACAGAAGTGCACATCTTGTAAGGTAATGCTCAGTGAATTCTCGCAAACTGAATAATTCCTATAACTAGCATCCTGATCTAAATAGAGTGTTATAAGCAAGCCAGATGCCCTCTTGTATAAAAACAAGGGTCCTAACTGGGTGCTGATGGGTCCTAACCGCTGCATCTCTGAAGAGGCTCTCTGGTCCTCCCTGAAATTGTGTGCGAGAATCATATATTTGTGCTTTCCCCACTGCCTCTTGTGAAAGGGTCTGTACCTTTCATTAGAATCTTAAAAGAGTGTTCACATCCCCAAAAGGATGAACTCACCACTGCTTGGAGAGTGAAAAGACGTCTCAGAACAGAACCTTGCAGAACTGTTTGAGGCATAAATTATAATACACAATTCTAGTCCTTGTGTTTTGCTTTTTAAATTTAACCTATCTTCAAGAATTTTTCAGATTCTTTAACCTTTAGTTATATAAACTAATAGAGAAAGGATATTCATTACCTGGTCATTGAAAAATATAGACTGTATACTTAAATTACTATCCGTTACCAAGCTTTTGCTGCAAATGTTAAAACTGCTTTCCTTGGTTAACCTTTTAGATTAGCAAATTTAATATCTGTTGTTTAATTTAATACCCCTTGTTTATTTTTCATAAGTCATGAAGTATTTTTTCTTCTTTTTAAATTCAAGTATAATTGACATGTAATAGTCCTGAATTATTATAGTAACTAGTTGTTTTTAAGTATCCAAGTTTTATCACCAGAAATTGATCACTTTTTTTTTATCACATGTTTATTATTCTATTTTTAAATTTCTAATTTATATCTTCTAAATTGCTTTTTTTTAAATAGATGAAGGATATTCTTTCAGCAGTGTTCTGTATTATGGAAATGAAGCTACCCTTCTTATTTATGATCTGATGTTCTTCTGTGTTGTGGATTTGGCTTGCCAAAATTTTATTTTAGCAGCCTTCCTTACATACCTACAACAAGAGGTAAATTTAAGAATTTTTTGTGGATTTCTTTGAAGAGAAATATGTGAGAAGCAGATATTTATTTTTATTGCAGAGAGTAACAATGTCTGCTTTCACTCAGAATTTATAAAGATTTAAAATATGATTAGCCCTGCCAAAAAAAAGGAAAAACATTTCAACCAAGTTCATCCTATACTGTCCTTCAGAGTCGGTGAAACACCAAGGACTTGTGGAGGGCATAAGTTGCTTGAGCAAACGTGAAAGAAATCCAGTAGGAAGACATTTGTGTTACCCTGCTCGCTGAGATGCCAGCATTGAGCAGAACTAGAACCCCATTTACCATCTGCACCAGATGTTACCATAGCAAAAAGGCAAACTCTGATCCAGCTCAGGGCTCAGCCAGTGTAACTCTCAGTTCACACATTACCTAGCTGCTTGGATGGAAAAACAGCTGCATGGATCAGTGTGGAACCTGAAATGGAGACTTCAAGAAAAGCCAAGTTTGTTCTAGAAATGTTAGCGTTCAGATCGCCCACATATTCCCCACTTAGGTCAAAGTCATGTATGGGCTAGTGGTATGATGGGTTAGTTCTTGATAGAGATCTAGAATTATGAACAAATTTTGTTCCTAACAGTTTTTGATATTTCCATAGATTTTAGAGCCAGGGGAAACTTGTCTTGCCAAATATTTAAAAGTATATTCCTATGAACATAAGGGAATTTGTATTAATTTATTAAAACATATTCTGAATAGTGACATACGCTGCTTCAGTATTATGAAAGATGATAGTCTTGAAATAGTTTTGTGTATCACCATGGAATTCAGGTGTCTGATACATGAAAATAAATAGTCGCAAGAATTGGCTAGTTTAATTTAGATATTTTAACTGACATGCACATTTAATTTTCTTTATATGTATTTTCCCTCTGAATTGTTTTTACTCTTTTTTTTTCCAGATTTTTAGATTTATTCGTAATGCAGTAGGACAGAAGAATTTGGCATCCAAAACACTGGTGGATCAGAGATTCCTGATTTAATTTATTGAATAGATAAAGACAGTTTAATCATGGCAAAAAAAAAGGTCATGATTATCAAGTTAGTTTGCCATATTTTTTAAAACTTGTAATACAAATTATTCTATTTTTATTTGTTTTTTAATCTACAGGAAGATTTATTTTTATAACTCATAGAAACATAAACTTGATTTGTGAATATGTAATATGATGCAATGAAAAATATTGTTTTCCTGTTATGCATGGTATTTAATTCACCAGTTTGTAAACTAGATAGCTCTGACGGTGGGACAAAAAAAAAACGTCTAAATTGCTTTCATCATAACATTTTTTAAATGGTAATCAAAACAGTCCCCATCATTTGTGTCTGTAAGATTATTTTATAAACTAGATTTGTGTATATTTTCTCACACTGAAAAAAAAATTGATTCCAGTTCAAGCCTAGTTTTCAGTTCATTTTGTTTTACATATTTTATGTTTAAATAAATGTTGAAAATATTTTCAAGTTTACTTAGATATTTGAAATTGTATGTGGCTGACTCAGTTGCTCGCTCTGGCAGTGAACTGATTCACTATTGTATTAATAGGCCGTTTGTGTAAAGGTACATTCTCATTCTTTTGTTTATCTGCATTATTAGGTCAATATGCTGTTTCCATGAAGTATATTTATATCTATAATATATAAATATCATTTATATTATTGAGCTGTAATATGTGACATTTTCCCCAAGTTAGTTTTTTGTACATTTTAATTACTCAACATTTTAAAAGCACTTCCAAACTTTTGCTTTTCAATTGTGTTTAAAGATTATAAATAACAAATGAACTGTAAGTTATCATGTTATGTGAAAGTGGTTTATTGAAAGCAAACTTAGGCCTGAGCCACGTAGCCAATAATTCTCCATGATATCATTTTTTTTCCAAAATACTCTTTAATAATCCTTTTCATTGTGTACTATGAACTTGAAGATCACCTTATTCAAGTATAATGGTCATTAATGCCCAAAGCAACATTTCTTTCTGCCTTCTGGTTAATGCTGTGTAAATACTTAAATGTATTGCTATGTAAATATTGTTTATATTACTAAATTGAAAATATAGAATAAAACATTTGGTGTTTCTCTTTTCTGTTTGATTAATATGTATTTTGTGAAATAGCATTTAGGAATACAGCACTACTGGTTCTGGTGTCCCCAGGCATTCCTGGAGTCAAATCCTTTAAAAGCGTTACCAGAACATTGAGGATGACTGAGGAGAAAGAGGGGAAGCTAATAAGTTGAGGGTCTGAAACTCTGCTTTCTTGAGGGTCTGAAACTCTGCTTTCTTAAGTGTCAGCGTACAGAGATGCGTTTCTAAAAGATAAGTAAACATAACAGCCTGTATTTGTAAAGCCACCTACTCAGAAGCTTATGAAAAAAATACAGCTCTCATTCCACATATGAGAAGTTAATATTCATGTGAATGTAAGTGGAAATTTCAAAAACAGGTCAGTTGGCTCATCTGCTGATAAATTAAGGCAGAGAAAAGACATTTAAAGTAGTTTTATACAGTATTATTTTTACTTTGGTTAGGTGCATAAGAGTGCATTCGGGTTTTCCTGGATTACTGACTCCTGTGTTCACATTGCATGATTTAAACTTTGGGATCACATGCTTAATTCTCTGCTAGACCTGTAATCTTTTGTCTGTTTCTGTAACACCAACCCACTGTGCGTGTGTGCTTAGTCGTTCAGTTGTGTCCAGCTCTTTTGCGACCCCGTGGACTGCACCCTGCCAGGCTCATCTGTCCACAGAATTATCCAGGCAAGAATACTGGAGTGGGTTGCCATTACCTCCTCAAGGGAATCTTCTCGACCCAGGGATCGAGCCTGCGTCTCCTGTGTCTCTTGCGTTGGCAGGCAGATTCTTTACCACTGAGCCACCCGGGAAGCTCCCAACCCACTGTACTTTGTATCTTATATCCCTCATTTTTCTGATTACGTAGAAACATTTGATAAATCTCTTGGTCATTTCATAATGAAACAACCCTAGGTTCACCTCGAGGTCCTTTACCAGCTGCTGTGTGCTTTACCCTCCTTAGAAATGCACAGGCCCTTAAAATAACTGCAGATCAGTCTCTATTGTGTGATGTTTATGTTTGCTTACTTCTCGTACTGCTTCCCTACCAAACTGCCTTTTGAGAAGGTTCTGCTGTTCACCTAGATGGAGAAGCATTCAGAGTGCCCATTAATTCAGTGCTTGCAGGCATAAAACAGGAAAACAGGTACTTTTTGTTGTCTGTAAACACTGACAATAAAAGCTGAGAGGAAATAAATGTAAATGGAAGAGCACTTTGGCTTAATGGAAAATGCTTCAAATTTAACAGCAGAAGCTATGAATTTGAATTAAAATCTTGCCCTTTGTCACTCACTAACTTGGTGACTTTATACCAAGTCATTTGGCATCTTTGAGTTTCATTCCACATCTTTACAATGGAAATTATATCCTTTGCTTACCACTTGTGATTCATTAGGATAGACTTATAATAACCACAAACTGGAATTTTTACATACTTTAGTTTGAAATTTGTGCCTTCTTGCTAATAAATTCTATGATATGAAAACAGGTTACTCATTTCAGTAGTTAACCAGTGAAGATCCTGGGCCTTCTGCTTCAGTCACCCCAGCCTCAGTGAGGAAGAGGCCTCGGGAGGTGTCACAGCCTTTAGTGAAAGGAGGCAGGAAGGAGCTTTGACACCATATTGTAAGCGTGCTTTGTGGTACACGTTAGAAAAAAAGGAGTAGAGAGTGGAATATCGTCTCTGGAAGGGAGGGTTTCTCTCTTACATGTTCATTCAAATGACACTGCTTCCCATTCCCGCTCCGGACGTGCTCAGAAGGGTAAGACAATTAGTAGAGGACACAGACATGTTAACCAGTAATTACAGCAATCTGAAAAGTGCTACAGCCACTAGGGTGTGATGTGGGGAAAGCTTTTAGGTATCTGGTCATCAGGGCTTTGACGTGACAAAGTGGTTGGTATTTGATCTAAGATTTAGATGAGTGCAGTCAAAGGAAAAGTACAAGCTCTGAGATGAAGCACATGGCCATTGAGTACTATAGGTAGTTTGAATAGGTATATTTATGCTTTTTAAAAATGCTCTGTATATTACATTTTAACATCTTAATTATTTTTTTCCCCTGGCTAGGGAGAGACTGCCCTATTGGGACTAGCCAATTCTTAGAGGTAGCAAAGGGCTCAGCCAGAGCGGGCCTCTGATAGCAAAACTCACCAATCCAGAGCTATACCTGCACCATCTGGCCCTTATCCCCAGAAAGCAACATCCTCCGCCTTCATCATCCAGGCAACCAGGGAACTCCTTTAGCTTAGGGCCTGCTGGAATGATTCAAGCTAGCCAGTCCTCAGTTGCTACCCTGCCCTGCCTTGCCTTTCCTGCAGAGTGCAGAAACATAAAGGCCAGGGCCCAGGCTCACCCCTCGCTCCTGTCTCTGCCTCCCGACCAATGCTGGTGCTTCCCCACGCAGCTCTGCGTGGCGCGGGCGCCTCCTGTTCTGGGACCTGTGAATATAATAACCTGTTTTCCTGAGCCTCTCCTGTGTCTCCTCTTGGGGCTGAACCTGACTGAGTCTCCCGGAGAACTCAGGACAGCGCATTTGGGGATTTTGGAGGGAGGTGGTTGGAAAGGAAAACAGGAGCCGTATCCCTAAAGGTCTTTATATCAAGCCCCAGTGTGTGGAGGGTTAGCCAAGCTAAGTTTCCCAGTCTGCCTTCAAATGAATACTCAGCACCCCAGCGAATGAGTGAATAGACGGGGCAAGAGAGGGCCTTCCACAGTCAGAGTGCTCTGGTATTACTGATGCTCTGGGGCTGGGACGCTGGTGCTCCTGCCCCTCTGTTGCCTGGCTGCATGTTAACAAGAAAATATATTGCCTAAGAGAGACGAGGCGGTAAGGCAGTGAAGGGAGTTAGTGGCTGAGAATACAGACTCTAGGGCCTACTGCCTGTGTTCAAGTCCTGCCTCCACCGCTTACTAGTTGGGTAATCTGGGATGGCTTCCTCAGCTGTTGTTCAGTCACTCAGTCGTGTCCAACTCTTTGCGACCTGGTGAAGTGCAGTACGCCAGGCTTCCCTGTCCATCATCTCTCAAAGCTTGCTCAAACTCATGTCCATTGAGTGATGCCATCCAACCATCTCATCCTCATCTATACCTATTTCATAGAGCTACTGGGAAGATTAAATGAGTTTACTGTGTGTACAGTGCTTAGAAGAGTACCTGGCACATAGTAAATACTATGTAGTCATAGTTCAGTCAGTTCAGTCACTCAGTCGTGTCCGACTCTTTGCGACCCCATGGACTACAGCACGCCAGGCTTCCCTGTTCATCACCAACTCCCAGAGTTTACTCAAACTCCTGTCCATTGACTTGGTGATGCCATCCTACCAGCTCATCCTCTGTCGTCCCCTTCTCCACCTGCCCTCAATCTTTCCCAGCATCAGGGTCTTTTCAGATGAGTCAGTTCTTCGCATCAAGTGGCCAAAGTATTGCAGTTTCAGCTTCAGCATCAGTCCTTCCAGTGAACACCCAGGACTGATCTCCTTTAGGATGGACTGGTTGGATCTCCTTGCAGTCCAAGGGACTCTCAAGAGTCTTCTCCAACACCACAGTTCAAAAGCATAGTTCTTCAGCACTCAGCCTTCTTTACGGTCCAACTCTCACATCCATATATAGCTTTGGAAAAACCATAGTTTGACTATGAGGACCTTTGTTGGCAAAGTGATGTCTCTGCTTTTTAATACGTTGCCCAGGTTTGTCATAACTTTCCTTCCAAGGAGCAAGTGTCTTTTAGTTTCATGGCTGCAGTCACCATCTGCAGTGATTTTGGAGCCCCAAAAAATAAGGTCTGTCACTGTTTCCATTGTTTCCCCATCTATTTGCCATGAAGTGATGGGACCAGATGCCATGATCTTAGTTTTCTGAATGTTGAGTTTTAAGCCAAACTTTTCACTGTCCTCTTCCACTTTCAT